AATCTGAAATCTCCGCGCCAGTCCGTTCAACGTCAGGTTCCTCTCCAAAATCAATTTCAACTCTCTAACAAACCAAAGTTCCATCCGTTGAACGTTCAACATGTAAGACAAACACATGTTTTCGAGTGAGAATGAAGACTACTCAATTCATTTGAGCAAATTTCGGAATATTACCTTCGCGGCCAAATCAAGGTATGGTTCAGCAACAAACAACCATGACAGAGGGCATCGGCGTGATGTCAACAAGCTTCAGTGAAGGTCCTGTATTCGAGGACAACGATTCGGTGTTCAGCGACTTGCCCACTCCCAGTGATATGAATAGTAGCCCAGAGATTCCCAAGCGTAGTTCCAAACACCAACGGAAAACCAGCACGGGATCGTCAGTCTGGAACAACGTGATCGTGGCAACACCTCGAACAATAATGGATGAGTGTCGCAATGATGTTCTCTTTTCGCCCGAGGTGGAAGAGGAAGAAGATGTTGATCAAAATGAACTGTTCGAAAACGAATTACGAGCTTCTGTTCTTAGCACTAAAATTACTGTCAACGCTTCCGATGCTGATTTGAAAGATACATCTGCACCACCATTGGCCTTCTTCCACACCGATAGCCTACACAAGCATCGTTCTGTCGACAGTGAGAAGCGCGACAGCTATATCCCATCGGCACTCTTTACAGATTCAAAGAAACCGGATGTGAAGACGACTGCTGCAAAGTCTCATCAGAGAAAGAAATCAGTGGACGATTCCATTCTCGATAAGGTCATTACTGTGGCCAAAGAGAGCGAAGACGCTGACGAGGAAGAAGATGATTCTCTCTTTGATACTGTCTCACAATTGACGAAGGATCAACAATTTGAGATTGAGAGCACAATCAGAGTGCTGATTGAAAACTCAGGAGTTGTTTTTGATTCGGCAGTCAAGAACATCATGGAGAACACCAACTTCGCAGCGGAAAAGATTGAGGAAACTGATTGTAATTTTCTCACGCCGCTTGGCGATATTACCGCTTGCGGCGACATGACTCAAAAATTCTGGAACAAAGATGAAGAGGAGCCCGCTGCACCAAACGACAAGACATTCATCGATTTTGGTAGTCTTGATGGAACCGACGACGAAAAGAACACAGTACCAGGAAAGCCTCACGCCCATGACTCTCCGGACGAGACTCAAGAAATTCTTAAATCACTCGATGGTAATCAGGTGGAAGACTCCGATGAAAAGCTCGATGATGAGACCAGTGAAGGCTCCGGGGGCGACGACGCCGACGACGATGCCTCACAACATGTTATTGCATGCAAAATATCCAAAGATGAAATAAAATCTTTGGGCATGAGGTTGGTCAAATCTGACAATGGAATCCTCATCTCGAGAATAGATCCCGAGAGTGACCTTGCAGCATCCGGTTTGAAGCCTGGTATGACGCTACTTACGGTCAACGGGAACCTCTGTCCAAATACTGTACCAGACACTGTCTTGATGATCAAAAGTACTTCTGGGGACGTAGAAGTAACAGCTGTCTTCAGGGGAGCCAAGTTGACCATTTCACCCGCAGCTCCACATCGCGGAGTTGCTGTGCCCTTCATTCGACCTATTGAAGAAGTTATCGATGTTGACGAAGAAAATGTTACATCCCCGGAGCATTCTAGTGGATTTGCAAGTTTCTTTCGACGCTTATTTTGTGGATTGGGTTCCACTGATAGCATGAACAAAGAAGCTGTTCTTGAAACAGAAAAACGTGAAATTGAAGAAAAATCAATTTCGGGAACTACAGAAACCGTCTCCGCATCCTCGCCAGAACCAGAGAAGCCGGTGCGCACCCTCACATTCCGAGTACAGCGGCTTTCGTGGGAAGATCCAATTGGTGTCAAGCTCAAACGTGGCAAGGGAGGGATTGTTGTTGCCGAAATTACGAAGAATAGTCCATTCCGTTTTACCGGGCTGAGGCCTGGAATGAGAATACATGAAATCAATGGAATTGGATGCCCTGGATCGTTGATCGTGGCCGAGAATTTGCTGAAGGGCATTGAAAATGATGTCGAGCTTGTAGTCACAAGCGAAGAGAAGAAGCCCGATTTCAGGCCCGTACCCGTATTGTTTTACAGTGACATATGACGTATTTACCCGAACTTTTCTACAAAGACTTTTGTGAAAAAAGTTCCCTCCATGTTAAAAATATCTAGCGTTTCTAACCAAAATCAAAGTGTAGCTTCTTTTCGACTACCACATCTTGAAACAAAGCATGGATTAAGTACGCGGAGATCAGCTGTGGTGTCTTTAGCCTACCGGTAGTGCATTGTTCATTCTTCTGGTGTTGGTGGTCGATCTGCGGTGGAATGCAATTGCATGTTCCACATTTCTGCGTAGGCACCATTTTGCTTCATCAACTGCTCATGGGTACCTTGCTCTGCGACCGAACCATCTTTGAGTACTATGATGTTGTCTGCATTGCGGATTGTTCCCACTGAATTTCAGTTAGTAACAGGTTCTCACATTGGTCGGAAAATCATGTCTAGTATAGGGAAGAAGATACTCACATCTATGGGCAATCACCAAAACGGTTCTTTGTGCGCCAAGGCGATCCAAAGCCTCTTGAATGCTGTTTTCGGTAATGGTATCCAACGCCGAGGTTGCCTCATCCAGCACTGCCGTATACAGGGAATAGAAACATGTGAGAACATCGAGCTTGCTATGATTGAAGACACACATAAAGAGTTCCTTACAGACGAACGGTGGATCTTTCAACAAGCACCGTGCGATGGCAGCTCGTTGCTGCTCGCCACCAGAGAGTTTGAGCCCGCGATCTCCTACCATCGTGTCCCAACCGTTCTCCAGGTTCTTGATAAAATCTAGCAACTGTGCATCATTCGCGGCTTGCTCCAGCTCTTCATCAGTGGCATCTTGTTTGCCATATCGTAAGTTGAAGCGAATCGTATCATTGAACATGCTATATATGGGACGGTTAGTTTCAATAGACACATGAAGATCAAGTTACCGGCTTCCAATCACTTACCAAGCGGCTTGTGGGACGACACCAATTGCCTGTCTCAGTTGTGTCTGCGAGATGCTACGGAGATCAATTCCATTGATCTTGATCGCCCCGCGATTGACGTCATAGAATCTAAAAAACAATCTCGAAATAGTTGTCTTTCCGGCTCCAGCTTTAAAAAATGGGAGGCCGAAATATGGGTTTAGCGCACACTCAGCAAGAAGTCACTAAGCAATCCAGCATCCCATTCTGTACTTACTGGGACCTACAATGGCAGTCGTGGTTCCTCGCTTCATCTTAAAACTAACTCCCTTCAGACCCTTCTTTTGGAGCTGCGAAGGATAATTGAAACTGACATTATCAAACTCTACCGCAATGTCGGGATCAAATTCGTTTGTAGCAGGTAGATCAACCGCGCTGGGCGAATCTTGGACATCGGGACTCTCTGCTAGAAGCTGTGATAGATTGGCCAAATCTACAAAGGCCATTACGACGGCGTTATAAATACTGCCCAAAAAGTTGAGTGGTTGGAAGAGTTGGATGATGTAGGTCAAGACAGCGACAAAGTCTCCAACTTGCATTCCAGGACAAGTATCGATGTCAATTGCCTTGCAGCATTCGCCCACACCAACATCACAACCATGATCTCTGCAACAATCGATTCGTTTCTTGATTCCCATTGCCGCCAAACTCAAGGACACTCCCAAGCAAGTTTGCAAGATGACGCGTTGACTTATGTTCAAAAAAGAAAGACTAGCTTGGACTTGGACCGACCCCTTTTGGTACTTTCGCACTGAAGCTCCAAAACGTTGACGTTCATGGTCTTCGGCCGTGAAGTACTTGACCGTTTCAAAGTTGACTAGGGAGTCTGTGAAGCGATCGTGCCATTCATTATCCGACTTTCAGAGCAATCGTTGTTAGCAAAGTACGCGAGCAAGAAAGTAAACATAATCCAGCTCCACACTACACACCTGGACAACGGCTTTTCGAAATTTCTATACGTCGAAGGCAATCGTTGTAAGCAAAACGGGTAAGCGGGAAGCAAACATTGAATCGACTCTACGATCCATACCTTCCTCCACAAAGTCACAAGAATAGTCCACACAACATACGCCCACACGAAGTAAAACACCGACAGAGCCAAGGGAAGATAGTCAAAGTAGGTGGCAAAAATCAAGCAAACTACCACACACTCAACCATGGCGGGAACCAGCCAAAGGAACAAGTATTTCATCAAAGTGTCACAAGCGGCAATTCCTCGATCCATACTTCGAATCACCTCTCCCAGTTTCTTCTGTAAATGCCAATCTAAACTGAGGGAATGGAGATGCACAAAGCTTTGTTCCGAAAGCTGGACAAAGGCAGCCTGAGCAACCTTTAGGTAGATCAGTGACTGACCTTCCTTGAAGGTGGAGCCCAAAAATTGAATGAAAGCGTATAGGATCGAATACTCGATTGTCTTTCCATAGTCTTCATGAGCCAACGCAGTACTTGCCCATCCCAAAAACAAAGGGCTTGTGAGATTGCAAACCTTCGACAAAATAACGCAGACCCAGGTGAAGATGGCACGAATTCGATTGATAGTGGCTGAATCACTGGTTTCATCGGGCCAAAAGTAGGGTCGCAACATTTTAATCATAGCACCTCTCGAAAGCTCCTTCTTTGTATCGGGAGGAGGAGCAATGTACAACTCATCGTCATCCTCCTCACCTGGAATTGGCAAAATCATAGATTCACCCCAACTCCATATACCGTACATGGATATGAGCAAGAGTACAGCGTAATCACCAGTAGTAGCATCTTCTCGATTTTTCATGAAGGAGATAAAAATGGGAAGCCACGCCAGCATGGCGCTCAGCAAGTACAGAAATCGCTGGAATCGGCCAAATCGCATTCGGTACCTGTCACTGAGGGTAATGGGAGCTCCCAGTGCCACCACTAGCAAAGCAAAGAGGACAAACCAATCGCTAATCACGGTCGTAACATCAATAAAGACAGCCACAGTAAATATCAGCATCATCAAGCATTGTAATTTGAAGGATAGCATGGCAAAGGAAGACGCCAGCCGTCGTGAATTGTCTCCAACAAGTGGTTGGGATTCTGCATCAGGCACAGGATCCAAAGTACCATAGGAGGAGGTCTTGGATTCCTTCAAGCCTTTCTTTAAATCACTCTTGCTTCCCCCCTTGGTGGAGGTCTTCTTCATATGATGCTCTTCTTTGTAATCGTTCGAGTTGGAGTCGTTGGAAGCTTGAATGTATTCAACTGAGAGACGCAAGAGTTGAATGTTGACTGCGACGGCACAAACAACCAACCACGAACTGGAGACGTCCAAGTCCAAACTGAATTCGGGAGGGAACATGATGGAGATGGATACAAGATCAGAAAACTGATTTGGGCAGAAGCAAAGAGGAGTTGCCGTTTTTGTGTGTCGACAAAAATTGTGACCGCTTGTCAATAATGCCGTCAAAACTGCCAACAAAAAGATATTATTACGTGAAGTTCCAAGGGGGAAATTTCTTCCGGCAGACGAGCAGGCCAAATCCAAAAATCTGGCGAGAGTTCATGCCAGGTTCCAGGTACACGTGTACAGTACGTGTACCTGGTACTGGTAGTGTACTGTTGTATCACACGTACCAGGTACATGTACCGTAAAATGTACGAAGTGCGATGAGCCAGTGCTGGTACAGACTTCGTAGGAGCAAACCAGTGACTAGCCGGATGAGTGCGATGGCTTATCATACCAGTGTGTCTAACCCATTACTAAGTTTTATGTCTACCCATCTACCTGCCATCATTTATCATGATCGATTATCCATTAGAATATCCCCACTGGTCCCAGTAACATGCGAAAAATAGGTCGGAGGCAATGTTCCTTCAATACCAGAAGACAGTATAACCCCATTGGCACTGATAAAGAATTCGATACTACCTTCAGCACATTTCACAGGGTCTACAAAAATAAAAATCGTAGAGGTCTTGCGCATTCCTGAAATCACACCATCAGCGTCTGGGAGTCCCGAAGCAAAGTGCATATGAGTCCGATTCATCTTCTTCAAACCAGTTTTTTGAATGGATTTCCATGGTTCTACATAAGTTCCGTGGACTATGCAAGGTAAAGTTCTCAGCTCCTCTGGCGACAACCTTCTGAATAGCAGCTCAGGATTGATGGTCTTGATGCTGTGTCCTTGATTGGCTCGAATACATATAATAGTTTCATCGGCATTGACATCTGAGATTCCATAGAAGTCACTGCGAAGTTTCTGATCCAGTCGAAATCTTTGCTTGTCATTGGTTTCCACCATTTTTTGGATTTCTTCCAGAGTAGCGCCCTTCAGTTTGGGGTGGGTGGACGACAAGATTTCGTCTACCGGAACATACCCATCGGGTAGAATGGTCAGACCAATGGCCAGGGCTTGATGACGAAGCGCCCAACTGAGGGCGTGAGAGAGCTTCTTTCCTGTGAGCGGTCTATTGTTCGAGTTCTTGGACTTTGTATCGGTCGATGATGATTGCGATCCGCTACCTCCTCCTCGTCCACCAGATTCTCCGTTGGTATTCTTGCGTTTACGGGCCATTTTTTAAAAGTTTGCTTCACTGTGACTTTTGTTTTTCCTCCTTTTCATATAAAATATGCGAGATCTTATTTCTTTGGTTGGATTTGGTTGGATTTGGTTGGATGCACGTTTGAATGATGGGTTTTAAAATAACTTCTGCATTGTTATTGTTGTTGATGTGCAGTCTGGGTGATGGGTTTAGTCCTTTGTGTCAAAGCGACTGAATGCGCTTTCAGCTGCGCGCATACATGTTAGATTTTGCCACCAACCACATTTTCTTCGATATTATCCAACTTGCACAGCAAACGAAAACTATACTGTAAGACATGGCAGGATTAGGCCGACGAACGCACTATCGAAAGCATTTGACGGATTCTGTTCTCAATGATTTGCCTGAGCCCAAGGAAATCGAAAAAATAGCCAAAGTAGTCTCAACAAGAGGACTGAATCAATTTGACATTTTGGTTGCCAGCCAAGGTGACGAAGTGGACGCCAATCGCACGCCACAATTGGCTATTCTTCCAACCAAGTTCCACAAATTGGTCTGGGTCAAAAGGAATGACTTCGTGATCGTAGAGACGGGTGATGACAGTACTGAAAATGGCGACGACAAAAAGGACGGAATCCGATTCATGATATCCCACATTTTGTACAAGGATCAAATCAAGCACTTGAAATCCAAAAGTCTCTGGCCAGTGAATGATCCCGAGTTTGAAAGTGAGGCTGGTGAGGAAGTAATAGAGGATCCAAAAGAAGAGGATGATGGGATTGTGTATGGAAATGATTACTATGATATGGGGGAAGAAAACGACGATGATCTCTTTGTCAATACGAATCGTTTAGCCCGGTTAGAAATTCAAGATTCTTCGGACAGTGAAAGCAGTGATGAAGAATAAGCATTCTGGAGATGAACGGCGTATACCATGGCGATATTGTCGGAGAGGAAATCAAAAGCTGACATTGAGAGACGGACACCACAGTCCGAAGACCATCAGAGCTTTGGAATTCACAGCATATCGAGAAGCATTGGTCCAACACCACATGTGGCAATTGCTACATTATATTCCTCTGACAAAAATCGAAACAGGCCCAATTCAAATGTGCATACAGCTCAAGAAGGATTCAGCAATCCCAATGCTAGTGGTTCCAATATCTTAAAACTACAGATCGTCTTCCCCGTGCATAGATACCCATAGTTTGTACATGGTCAACAACTTTGACTTCTCTGGATCTACTGTTTGCAGGAACCGAATTCTCTCTGGGCCAGGAGGCAGCTTTATGACGCTTTGCAAAAAGACGTCGCTGACCTGCCTGGCATACTTTAGCTTTTGTTTTCGATCCTCTGGGGACAGGTCTTCTAGTTCTTTCAGTAGCTCTTCTTGCAACTTTTTGGCTTCACTCACAACTCGAATCTGTCGTATTTGTTCTTCTTGCGGCAGTTCCATGGTATTCTTCTTCGGCGCATCCGAACTGGAACCATCCCCAACTTCAGAATATTGGACCGCCACTACTCGGGTCACACCTCCTTTATCTCGATCGGACAGAGTGGTGGGGTCACTGTGCAAGGATGCATTGGCCACTGTTGTTTGCATTTGCACAATGAGTCGTCGAAAGACGTCGCGACATTCCTGGTCGTCCGAATATTCACAAGTGGCAGCCGTTGCCGGATCCACAAAGATTCGAGTCAACTCGCTCGTAACAAAACGCGGCTCCAGGCCGACCGCTTTTGCCAAGATTTGTTGCACCTTTTCCAATCGCTTTTGTGGGTATGCCATGGCGGTAGGCTCATCTTTTGGTGCCTGCAAGTCATCGAACAGTGGGGTATTATCTCTTAGGTTTTGTTCGACACATTCCAGAGTAATTGCAGATTGACATAGTCCCAGGTATTCCAAAAGCTTGGAACGATTGAGTCTTCCATCATTCTGAAGGTCTTGGTTAGGCGTTTCTCGATGGGTCTCCGAGTACAAGATGAGCTTGCAAAGGGCCTGTCGCGCTGATGCATCATTCTCAGTCATTGCAGCTTCCAATTGTCGAGAGAGAGCTTCTTTCTTAATGTTGGTTAATCGTTCTTGAACTTCTTCTGTGGACACTCTCGAGTTGTCAGTAGATTTTTGGTTGTAGGTGCTCAGCGTTGAACTCAAGACATGGCGTTGTTTGTCCAAGATAAACCGTCTACATTCAGCAGTTGTCCAGGTCTCATTGCGAAGAGCTTCTTTGCAGTCCACCTCTACTAGCGCCTTTCTGCATTGCCTAAAAAAGGTGAGCAATATCTCATCTGAAACCATCTTTCATTGAGCTTTGCTCTTCTTCATTCTCACACGATCGAAGACAAAAAACTAAAAATGTTCGGGGGAAATATTCTATCCTGGCGGGCGAAAATTGGTAATAATAATACCTTGATTATCATTGCGCAATTGAAAGCGTTAGGGACAGGATTTCAACGTACTGACTGTACTGTACAGAGTACACAAGCACGGGGATATGTTGTACATGGCGTTGCTGGAATATTTCACACATTTTTTTAATTCCCAAGTCACTTTTTACTACGCTTTTAGAATGGTTCTTCGTCGTCATAGTACTCTTCAACGTCATATTCATATTCATCATAGACGTTGCCCTCATCGACTTCGACCTCCACATCCTCTTCTTCCTCATCCTCGGCTTCTTCCTGTACCTTTGTCTCGACCTTCTCATCAGCCGAATCTTCGTCCTCCTCTTCTGCAGCTTCGGCATCCCCCGCGCTAGGTTCGGGGGGCTCAAGCTTCAAACCCTTTTGCAGAGTGTCTTGAGATACTGTTGCACCCATTCGAGAAGGCAAGAACAAACCGAATGCATCTAGCTTTGGTGTGGTTCTCTTGACCATCGATCTAGTTTGTGGCAAGAGATCTTCGCTGTAGAATTCACACCATCTCTTGATGAGTTCAGCGTCGCTTCCATCCAATTCATCCCTTTCTAGAGCACGATTTAGAGCCTTGGCAACAGCTGAAGTCAAACCGATAAGATCAGAAGCAACTCTCTCGGCAGCAATGGCTGTGTTTTCGCATTCTTCACCATCCTTCAATTGGCAAGCAACCCCAGCCTTAAGCAACAAGGCGGATGCGTCAAGGTGTTCCACTCGAAGACATGTCGATGTGATTGGCTTTGGCTTTGGTTTAGACTTTGATTTCTTTGTTTCCTTTCCAGGTTCCACTCCAATTTCGTCAAACATTCCTCCGAAACATTGTACTCTGAGCAAGACGTAGTGAGCATAACGAGACATGAAGGCTTTGAATTTCGCGTTTTCTGGTTTATCATCACCGGCAAGAAGTTGTTTTGAGCTGAAGAACTTTTCTTTTCTCTTTGGATCTCTTGTGCGTCGGAGTTCTCGTAGTCGTGCCTTTTTGTATTGATAATCAATGAGTCGCTTGCCTTCAAACAAAAAGTGCAAAAACAATAATATTTTGATCAAAACATACCTTTAGTGAGGGCGCGTGCTCTGGGGCCCCATCGGCAGAGAATCTGTGCAAGATGTACAAAGCCTTGATGGTGGTTCGCCAGTCCTTTTCTGCCATTTTGCTCCATAGCTTTCTCAAAACGGCATCATAGATGTCATAGCGGGCGCTAATTTGATATGTGACACCAACAAGTCGCTCCACGTGCTTTCCCTTAACAGCAGTATCATCAGGTCTGGTGGCCTTCAACATGACTTGTTCCAATTCAGAACTTGTTAGTCCTTTGACTTCACGGTATAGGTTGGAGGAAAGACTGGAGGTAGTCTCTCTTGCGGCATTCAAAGAATTAACTGCTGCATTTTTGACAGCTGACGGGTCTGGCATGGAGCTCTTTAGCTTCTCAAGACTTCGCGTAAAGGTAGATGCCTTTTGGTGTCTAGTGTATGGGACAACAGATCCACGTCCTCTTCCTGGTGGTCCCCTTCTTGATGGGGGTCCGCTTCGACCAGGTTTTCTTCCTCCCGGTGGTCGTCTAGGCCTGTCATACTCATCATCATAGTCATCGTATCTACCACGAGAGCTGGAAGGTCTCTTTTTGGGTGCAGGGCGCGAAGATCGGCTGCTCTTTCTGGGAGACGAACGGATTGGTCGTCGCTCCTCTTCTTCGTATTCGTCCTCTTCTTCCTCATCAAAAGGATCATCCAAGCCGAAATCTTCTTCTTCCTCGTCCTCCTCGTCATCATATTTTCGCTTCGACACTGGTGGACGACCAGAAGATCTGGATGGGCCAGATCTTGAAGGCGGCCGTCGACTGGGGCTGGACCGTGATGGCTTCTTTGCAGCAGCTAATGCGCCTTGATCAAGCACTGCGCATACTGCGATTATTATAGCAATGGTGTGTGTGGTGAATCTCATTTTGAAGATTCTATTCAATTCAATGGACTTTCGTTGTTGTGATAGTCCCAAAGGGAACACTTCGCACGTGTTGAGATTGATTGGATTTTGTCTTTCGAAGCTTGACGTCCATCAAACAAACGTCTTTTTCATTCAATATGTAGATTTGTACGTAGGTTTTGGAGATACACGTGTCAACACTTGTCATCTCACATCACCTCAAAGGAATTTTTTCTCGATCTGTGCATGATTCCAAACTCTAAATTCCGTGGGCTCCAACCAGTCATGCCATCATAAAACTCACACTTTAAAATTGTTTATCTCTACCGTATACAGGTAGCAAATATTAATAAAACCACAATGGGAGATGACGGATCCGAACGAACCAAACCAAACATTCTAGTTACTGGTACGCCAGGCGTAGGGAAGACAAGCACGGCATCTCTGATTGCGGAACAAGTTGGCCTGAAGCATGTCAACGTTGGGGACTTGATCAAAGAATTGAACTGTTATGACGGGTTCGACAAAGAGTTGGATACCAATATTCTTGACGAAGACAAACTGCTCGATGCCATGGAGGTTATCTTCGAAACGGCGGCTGAGGAGGGGCAAGGAATCGTTGCTGACTATCACGCATGTGAAATCTTCCCTGAAAGATGGTTCGACTTGATCTTGGTGCTTAGAACAAAAACTGAGACACTCTTTGATCGACTTGCAGCGAGAGGGTACAATGAAAAGAAGCGGGACGAGAATATGCAAGCTGAAATCATGCAAGTTGTCCTTGATGAAGCTAGAGAATCTTACACCAAGGAGATTGTGCATGAAGTTCAGTCCAATACTATCGAAGATATGGATAGCAATGTGGACAGAGTGAACCAATGGACAAAACAATGGCTAAAGGACAATGCCGATAGGTAGCACGTACAATTAGACAGATATCTTTTAGTCAGCCAAAGTATTGCATCTATGTTTAGCTGAAGTCTGCAATTCTCGGGTATTGTTGTTTCACCACAGAGACCCAATCTTGTACAGACTTGGACTTGAAGCCTTTCAGGGCAGCGAGTGCCTTCCGACAAGATTCGACACTGGCATCCCTTGCATCAAGTCCTCCCTTGACAATAAGTGCTGTAGCGGCATCAACAGAAGATGTATTGATCAGCACAAGGGCTTCGGCGACAGCAACTCTTAATGGCAAAGATGCTGTTTTGTGTCCTTGGACTTTCTCCACTGCTTGCTTAATGTAATCTGATACCGACAACTTCTGGAGCAACTCGACACAGCCATCCTTCAATACATTTTTGACAGCGGGTGCCTGCTCTCCAAAGTCAGCAGCCTTCAATCCAAAGTCTACAACACGTTGGAAGAATGCAGCACTTTCTGAATCCATCCTATTCAATTTGAAGAGAGCTTGAAGGGCCAACAACCACTTCTTCCGCCTCATTGCAACATCATATTGCAACGTCCATGTTTCGAGCTTATGTGGGCAATGTTTTGACAAGATTGAAGAGTATTTCTGGCATTCTTCCAATGGATCTCTCTTCATCATCTCGTCACCATTTGGGTCTTCGTCCAAATCTGTCATCTTGCTTCCATCCGCTTGGTCTCCTTTATCTCCGTTCGCGTCATCCTTCTTTTGCCCCTCGGCTTTCTTCTTCTCTGCTTGCTTTTTCTTCTTCCTGGCAATTGCCTTCGCTTTTTTTCGTTCCGCAGCTGTCATCTTGGAGTAGTCTGGCTCAGCATCTTCCTTTGTGATGGCTGGGTTGTCATGCAGGCGAAGGTAGAGCTTGATGATGCCACTGGCGGCACTAAAGTAGTAATCTTCACTCCAGAGATTGTCCTCAAATTTCAAAACTTCAGTGTATGCGCGAAGAGTCACCTTCCGTATGCAGTAGCTGTGGAAATCGAATTGATCCTCATGGAAGTCGTCAAAGTGCTTCACAACACATGCTGCATAATCACAACCCGTTGAGTCGATCGTAAACAAGTGGCATTGACACCAATAACACCACAACAAGCTTACCGTATTTTCTTAATGCTTTTCCCCATTTCTCTTGTCTAGCGTAACAAGCTGCAAGCCCTAATTCGTACCAAGAGCATTGCATGTCGTAAAGATTCGCTTCTGGATTCCCCTCGTGCTTTGTGAACATCGATATGCGATCCAAAGCGTCAGTGTCCATGCCAGCTTCAAGCATGTATTTTGTCGTTTGGTTATTGATATAACGATCCTGTCGGTCGAGGTCTCGTCCTTTGTCCAAAGTATCAACTGCAGTCTTTATATCTCCCGACGATCGAAGAAGGCGACCTTTCAACTCGTACAAGTCAACAAGCGTTGGTGTGTGCTCGATGCACTTGTCAAGGAGGGCAATACCACTTTCATATTCTCCAGCAAGTTCGTGTAATCCAGCTCGGAGGTACCATGCCCAAAGTTCCGTTGATGGTGACTCCTCGAATTCGTCATCGGCAAGAAGCTTTGAGTTTGCTTGTAAACAAGAGATATATTCATCGGCAAGCTCCACGATCAATTTGAAAGCGGAATGCTCCTTGATGTCAATCGGATCTGAAGCAATCTCGAACCTGCCGTCCTTCTCAATTAGGACAAAGCTACTCAGTTCCCTACAGAGAGATGGGACTCCTTTCACTAGGCTCTTGCGAATGAAGACACCCAAAGACTTTCTGAGTCGATCTCCCTCCACAAGATTCAAAGGAATTCTTTTGACCGCAGCTGACCGTTCAAAATCTGGGAAAATTTCATTCGCGTATGCATCCAGCAACTGTTGCTTTTGCTCGCTAGTCAATGGTAGATACGAGGCAAGACTTCGAGTACCAGGCAGTTCATATGCTTTGTCACAGGTTTCTTTGTCCAACTTCAATATAGCACACATATACAGAGAATGGATCCTTGAGTTTTCCGTCATTCCACGCTTGAACATACTGAGAGCAGTTTCCCTAGCTTCTGCATGTCGACCCAATGTCAATTGGAATCTAGCTTTTGAAATCAACCACGAAGTCTCATCTACAACTAACGCTTTGCAGGTTTCCAAATGCTCCAGCGCCTCTTGCGTGTTGTCTGGAATCTCTGACAGAATCTGGTTTCGGTACATTGCTAATTCACTGGCTTCAAATCCACGAGACAGTTCAGGTGCCCCCTCGGTGAGAGTCCCCAGATAAATATCAACGACCGAAATTGCCCCTCGTAGATCACCATTCAGATGTTTTGCCAGAGCGAACGCGAGCCAATTGATCTTTCCATTTGGTTTCATCGTCAGGATGTTATGCCGAGTCACGGCAAATCCATCTAGATCTCTCATTTGCACTTGAAGCATACTTAAATCACGTAGAATTTGGAGAGAATCAGGTTCGATACGCAAGGCCTGCTTATACGCTTTGATGGCCTCGTTATAATTTCTGTCGGATCGATGCAACAAACCGTAGACGTGCCAACAAACATGCGATCTACAAACAAAATGGTCAGGGATGTTTTGGCCCCGAATGGAACTAACCATAACACTATCTTGGTATCAAAATCAACCTACCTCATGTCATGCATCAATCCTAGCTTCACCAAAGCGTGTGCTTCATCTCGCTTGGCCATATTGTTCAGCACCAAACCCTTCATTGCAAGGGTTTCTCCATGGTTCGGAAACTTTTTCAAGATTGTATCTGCTTGCTTGATTGCTTTTTTGTATTGTTTTGTTTCATAATGTTTAATCACGTTCTTGAAGAGGTCGGCTTCCTTCTTCGGCAATGGACGCCCAGCTCCATTTTGAGGGTTGTTATCCGGCATATTTTCTGGAGTATTTGTTGAGTAAAATGGTACTGGATCGGCAGCTTAAGATTTTGATTGAGCAAGCCCGCTGATTCCAATTGTAGGACGACTCCAAGACTTCAAGATCAGTTGTAGGGACTTTCGTCACAATACAGTACTACGGTGGTGAGGAATGAATGAGATATGGTGAGTGTTGCATTCTCATTCATTCAATGTGAGGTCAGGACTTCCGTACTCTTTCTACATACGCACAGGACATAAGGCCAGTCCTTGGAGGGATTTGTCCTGAAAACTTCAAACATCTTCAATTTCCCAACGACAGATTTATCCATCCATTCATCCTCCACTCGCCATGGCACCCACTGCAGCAACTCGGGCCAAAGCCCTCTCGTTATATCGCAAGCTTATGAGAGGGGCTATGAAAATGCCTACTCCAAACCGTCAGAACTTTGTGATCCGTAAAACAAGAGTCGAATACAAAGCGAATGTTGGTCTGACCGACCCAGATGCCATCAACAATGCCATCCGGTTAGCAGACACGAACCTAGACAGTAAGTTGGGCTGCCTTTATAATCGTTGATATCATGTATGTATTTTTCCACTAATATTGTTATGCCCAGCTGTTTTGGTCCAAGCAGAGCACTTGACAAAGCTAATGAAAGATCCAAACTATCAGGCTGATATATGATTTTTGTGCAAGGGCCGCCATTGTGCATTTCAATTTTAGGTGCATATATATAAAGTTTATAGTGAAAATGGGCATGTAATTTCCTTGCTTTTGACTTTGTCTTCCAATCCCTCGCCACCATAGCTTGTGAGTGGTGCAACTTCGCAAATCGCTTCCATATCCCCCACTAGTTTTCCTCCCGCATCTTGAACCCACTTTTTCGCCAATTCAGAAATGTACGCTCTAGCAGTATCAGGGGAGTCCGACGGAGATCCAGGTGCATTCTTCACAGGTGCAAACTCTTCACTTCGGTTGACATCAAGAACGGCCATAGACTTGGACAAAGGGAAGACATCAAAGATGAATGTCTCCAACTTGAGACCATTGTTGGCGGTTGGTGTGACAGTTGTCTTTGTTTCTGGATCGTAGTACGGAATCTTTTTCCTTGCAATGTGATAAATGTTTCCAAGCTGTGGGAGAATCTCGGTCTTCAAGAAATCAATGGTGTAGAAATGGTTGCAAATGTTCCCCGCACCAAATCGCAGACGGCCATTGTTGTCAACAGCTTCTGCCATTTCCGTCGAAATATCCGAGTACTCAACGACACATGACTTTCCATCCTTTTCCGCGATCACACCAACTTTCTCGTGAGCAGACGTCTTCCAAACGACTTTGTTTCCACAATCAGCTCCTTGCGAAATGCAGTAGCCAATAAATGTGGGATCGGCTGGCTTTGTCAAGGCATTGTCAATGCTGAATACGTGTAAATACTTGATATTGCGTTGTTCCATGTCTGCAAGCATACCAGTCTTGACAAGAGAGGGATAGATGCCTCCATTGCCATCAGGAGCCATGGATACCTTTCCGGAGCCTTCCAAAATGATCTTTCCTTCCTCGGTAAGGCATGGCAACATGCCTTGTCGGAAAAAGCAAACATCTTCCTTTGGTAGCCCAAAGAACGAGTTTTTCTCAAAGAAGCCAACAGTTTCGTCATGATTGAGAGGAGACGTCATGATGTAGAACGGGACGGATGGCAGGTGGCTGGAGTCCTTTGCGGCTAGCTGACGAAGCTTGAGCAAGCGCTCCGAAATCACCTGGAACAAAGTGCGCTTGCTGGGAAGATCAATCGAATATAATCCCTTTGGGCCAGAAAAGCCTAGACGAGTTCCTTGTCCTCCAGCCAACACCAAAGCAGCTACCTCTCCACGGCTAGTGGCCTCAATTCCCAGCTGGTAGGATGGTTCTCGATCCTCTTTGACAGATGTGCGACCAACATGCTTTGAGAATGGTCGGATACCTGAATTCGCTGAAGCTTCACCTGCGTCGGAGGGCTTGGCCGTTGCAAGAGATGTTGCTTTGGCAGCCTCCAATAAGCTAGCGGTTGACTCAACATTGATACCATCCAATTCATTCAGAAATGCTTCTTTTTCAGGTGCCGACAACTCCCCAAAATATTGGAAGACGTGGCCCTGTCCAGCCGCTTCGAATCGTTCTCTAACCTCTGCTTCCTCAACCATGTTCACCGTGTTGGATATTTGAAATGATACAAGATGATTTGGCCGATTGCATCCTTGAGACTACGTATGTACCTAAAAAATCAGGCTTCTGGTATTCTGCTAATTGATTTTTTTGGTCTCATCCTTGCTCGAGCGTGATTAATGGAGATAATCCAACAACGAATGACGTTTCTTTCTTTTCCCATAGTAAGTCTGTATGGCGTACGATATCTTATTGAAGGTGACAAATCGCCCCTATATGGGGAAACAGGAAGCTTGGTGTGTGCAGTATGCGCTTACGCTGGAATTCGTAGGCACCTTTTTGTTGTGGGAGTACGCACAGGCAGCAAAAGTCAGACTAACACCAGTGCATTCACCAACATCACCACATGCATTACCTTTGCATTCTGACCACAAACGCATAGAAGAAAAAAGGAGGAAGAGACTTTAGTGAAAAGGAAAAAGATCAGCCGATTGAAGTGAGAGAGGAGAGACCAAAATTCTGTTGAGGAGACACCCTGATATGGCGGTCTGGTTGTATAATATTTCTACTTGAAAGTCATGCCAATATCCGATAGTTGCCTATTACTAAGTCCTGCAGCAACGGACGGGGCCATGGCAATTGAGATGGGTAGTCGCTCTGATGAACCAGTAAAGGGATCTGAGGCGATTTCACAACAATCTGAAGCCCCCCCTTCCATGGGAGAGGCACGGATGAAATCATCAATTCACGTTACTGATTACAGTGAGACAAGCGAATGGCGGAAGAGAAACGAATCTCCAGCGTCCAACGAAAGTATGCAACAAAGTGTCACCGAGGAGGAGACGAATGGGTTGAGGGCACCGAAACGGAAACTTTTTGCGATAGAAAGTGAAAGGCCCATTTTGGAAACGGAAGAACCAGGCGATGGACCTGATTCAGTTGATATTGAAAAGCTGACCGTGCCACTACATGAAAGAATACGGCAGGTTGAGCCTTTGGATATTAGCTACACCTCTACCGCTGCCTCGGAGAATCTGAGAGGTGTGCTTATTGCAAGATTACACGACATTTATGAATTTGGAAGAATACAAGTGGTGAGTAACGTTACTGATCTCTCCTGTCTTTTTTGTAGAGAACGATGCTGACCGCTGTTACAGATTGACCTATCACGTAGAGGTCTTACCGATAAAGATGCTGAGACTGTAGGAATGGCGTTGAGGAGTAACCCGCAGCTCGCGGTTTTGAAACTCGGATACAATCGTATTGGAGATCGAGGAGCAGCTATTATAGCAGCCTGCAGTTCCAGAGAAGGAAGGCATCACCAAAGCTTGTCAGTACTGGACTTGGGTTTCAACTGCATAGGAGATGAAGGCTGTACAGCCATCACGTTGAACATGTTGGCCGGTAATCACACATTGCGAAACCTTTTCTTGTCAGGGAACGTCATTAAGGACGGGGGTGCTATCGCAACTGCTGGCGCTCTTCTTCATGGATGCAGTTTGACGCGGCTACATTTATCAGCAAATGAGATAGGGTACGATGGAATGAAAATTCTTTCAGGGGCAATTGGTGAAATGGACAAGCGGAGGCAGCAAATAGTCAATCGTCCAGGAGGAGTAAAGACTGCAGTCCAACCGGCAACTCTTGAGGAGCTGCACTTTGCTGACATCAACCTCAAGGATGAAGGTATTGTTGCCCTTTCGGGTATGCTTCTATCGAATACAGGTCTTTGTGTTCTTGATATAAGCAACAACCGTATCGACGACAAGGGTCTAGCTCTATTGTCCCAAACGCTCGCGCAAAATAAATCGATACCACTAAAGAGTTTGTCCCTCGCATTCAATAAGATAACTTGTGCGGGAGTTGAATGTCTCATGAATGCCATCTGGGGTTCAAAGACACTCAAGGAACTAAAATTGGACAATAACAAAGTGCAAGATCGTGGAGCGCAGCTCTGCTCGGTTGTTCTCGGTTCTGTCAGTCTTGAAAAGCTAGATATCAGCTACAACTCGATATCGACTGTCGGAATCAAAGCTTTGATGAAAACGCTATCAGAAAACAATACTCTGAAGATCCTCGCTCTAAACGGTATCCCAATGGATCAGAATTCATCAAAGGCCGTTTCGTATGCGCTTGCCTACAACTCATCGCTTGAATCCTTCAGCATATACAGTTGCTGCATCGGGTACACTGGTCAAAGACACATTGCTGCGGGAGTTGTTTCTAATCGGAATGTCAACCTACGGCGGCTAAATGGTTTCACTCTCGGTCGTAAGTCTGTTTCTTGTGCAATATTCCCATTATTTCTCCACTTTCGTGTTTGACTCACTTTCGTTATTTTCGCAGCCATTACGTCGACTTTGGGCTTGCCACAGCTACCTGAGGACTGGGGAAACGAACGGGTGCTCGGATTTGTCCGCTTCATGTGGGCACATTGGAGTGCCCAAAACCCTGGCTCTGGCGTACAAGGCGAGGCAAGGGGACCAGCCCCTCCTACAGCAGTGGCAGCAGCTGGTAAAAAAGCATTTTCGTCACTAAGCGAATCTGATGAAGCCAGGACACAATTTCAGCAGCAGCAAGGTTTGCACATTGGAGAGTCTCCCATAATTGATCCTGACACTGCGATTCTCGTTCGGTCAATATCTGGAAGAAATTTGCAGATTCCCGATTGGGGGGATGGAGACGATTTTGACAAGTCCGATCTGGACACTGAGTCTTGGTCATCAGAGACAGACTCGCTCGATAGATCATCGTATGGAGAGTCGTCGGTGGGATCACAGAATAATCTGCTATCTGGAGTTAATAAAGAGAGCAGAAATCGAAACCTTCAGTGGCTTCGTGTACACTCACAAGCGTTGCAAGACGTCGGAAACATAGCATTCAGCAATGCGGATCTATGGTTTCTACATCAGCACTTCTTTTCCCCTCCTTACGATGAGAATGATCTACTTTCTGACAACCCTGAGCAAAAGACCGGAAACGACACGCCAAAAAGCTCGGCAAGGACAAGACTTCCAACTACCGCATCACTGGTTGTGGTGCATCAAGCCCGTAATTCAGGAAATGGACCTACAAAATCTGCGAAGGTCAAAAACGATTGGAACGACATGTGGACAACCGCAGAGCGGCCAAACAAGAGAATATCAGGAGAAGAAAACAGCTCTTCGGCACCTTCGCCGAAACGAGCTAGGAATTCTAAACCGCGCATTGCGTACTACCCCCGCGTCAGAGAAAAGCTTGAATCGATGGGAGACAAGCCATCCGCACAAACTCTGTCTCTCTTGAGACAGTTGAAGTACCTTGAGGCCAAGCTGTTCCCAGGAAGAAATATTTACGTCGACAAGGAAAATAAGGAAGTTCAAGACGAAAGTCCAAGTACTGCTGACGCTGAAATGATTCTCCTCGATCTTATCTAATGGCAATCTCTTTCAGACTCTTTCAGAGTGTGTGCATCTAATCTCATAACTTTACCACTAGCATTTGTTATGGTCAATACTTTGTTAGCTTATTGCTCTTGTTAGATCAGAATCATGCTAAATATAACTACACGCTATGATCGATCAGAGAGAATCTACGGTTAGATCATGAGTACTTTGCGCAGAAATTCTCGTGATGGCTCTTGAACTTGTCAACAGCACTCAACATTTTGTCATCTGGAGGCAAAAAGGTAGTTCTGAATCCAAAGCGACCTTCTTTTTGACCGAATCCAGATGCCGGGACTACGCAAATTCCAGTTTCTTCCAGGAGAGATAGGGCGTACAGTGTATCTGGTGAAACGTGCTGCTCATCCGCAGCTGCAATAGCTTTTGGAGGAAGCTCAATGCTTGGGAATGCATACATTGCACCTTCCGCTGGATTACAACTTATACCATCAACCTTGTTGAGGCTCTCGACCAAAGCCTTTGCCCTGTTTTTCATTCCGTTGAAGATGTTATTCTCTTCTTTTTGAAATCGATCGTAGGACACATCTCCCCGCTTTGGAGGTTTCACCATTAGGCTTGTCGTGATTTGACCAGGAACATTGGAGCACAATCCAGACGAAGCAAGCTTGTACAGCTGAGCCTGAACAGTTTTATCAATATTGTGCAATTCCATGTAACCTCCACGTCTCCCGCATTCGCCAATCACCCCCTTGCTCGTAGAGTGAAAGCTCACTAGTTGCAAATATTCACAGCCTGGAGTTTCCAGTGCTACCTTCTTCGCGCTTAAAAATGACTTCGATGGACTGTAAACATTGCGTTGGTAAACCTCATCTGCAAGAAGCACGATGCCGTTGTCACTGCAAAACTTGCAGATTACTTCCAGATCTTCTCGCGAGTAGACTTGCCCCGTAGGATTTCCAGGATTGATTATTGCAAGAGCCTTGACATCGATACCATTTGCTTGGGCTTCCTGCAGCCTTTGCGTAAGCTCTGATTCTGTCGCCGCCCAGTTGCTATTCTCATCAAGGAAGTAACCGACTTGACGACCAGCAAGTTTCGCGATAAGGGCTGAATAAATTGGATATTGAGGAATTGGAATCATGATTCCGTCTAGCTCAGAGCTGATGATGCTAGTGAGGACCAGCTCGATTGCAGATGATGCTCCATTTGTTAGGAAGATGTTACCGGCGTATGCTGGATGGCCGTCGCGTTCTGTAATGAAGTCCGCTACATCGTGTCGAAACTGCAAAATTCCCTGGGATCCAGTGTACGCACCAGTTCCAGCAGGTCCGATCGTCTTTCTGAATTCTAGTGCCCGATTGACAACGTCAGCAGGAAACATCTCATAAACATTTGGGTGGTCAACCCCATCTTCTTCTGGAAGGTCACACAACGCCATGACTTGCCGATAGTATGTAATTGGCGATTGACCAACTGCTTGAGGATTTCCAATGTTAGTGTAGAGAATGTCTTTTCCCTCTGCTTTGAGCTCATCAGCACGCATGACAACTTTTGCATGACAATACAGACACTTTGAGATTATTTGGAATGGTAGAAATGACGACAAAGATTTGTTGGGTACACATACCTTGACCACGGACGGCATATTGCATCTTTCTCACAGCTTGACTCATCGTGTGCTCGTTCCAAGTATGAAAGTTGTCCTCATCAAGTTGTGGCTTTCGTTGACCGGTGTGAGGATGACGCTCGTAACTTAGGGCATACTGTGATTCCTGTTCTTGCTGAAAGTTGGTTGCAAGGACCAACCAGCTTTTGAACTCCTTTCGACTCAAATTATGGTCGTGTGCTAGCTCGTTGAGCATCTTGAATGCACGGGGATGAACGCCCTTGTGGCCAACACTATCCAAGAAGACGTGAAGCTCAGAGGGAGTGATGTTGTCAGTGTGATTGGTGTCAATCGATCGAAACAAGTTGTCGCTGCCTAAGCTCAAAGAGAGTTGTTAGAATGATTGATCTCAATGGACCGAAACAAGTTTTCGCCGCCACCAGGCAATATTTACCTCGCCCCGTTGAAAGAAAGGTCTCCCAGTTCATCTTCTGATAACGGGCTAAATGATTCACTTGTGTAGAGAGTGCTCGAATCACTGCCAGATATCGAGGATGAGCAAATCTTTTTGCTAGTAGTTGGTGTGCGTTGATCATGGTTCCTTCGTTCTAATACCGACGTCTGGTTGATGAAGCGGCAGAAAGTATTGATAGTATACCAGTGCCTAGAGACAAGAGCTGTCAGAATCTGTACTTTAGGAAGATTATGAGAATCTATCGAGATGATTTGATAATAGAAAGATCCGGCGTCACCGTAATTGCAGTGACAGGGTTCGGGACGAAATTGAGGATGGATGCGAACAGTCAGTCGTCCCCGAAAGATTGATTGATTCACGAGTTGTAATTGAATCCCCAGTCTTCCTAAAAGCTTCCACCGCATGCAAACCACGGCAACGATGATAGGCAAATCCTATCTCTTTTCCAGTCATGTTGTTTATACAATAGAAGTATTGGCTTCCTTTCGACGAGCGATGAATAAGGATCATGTGGCTCTTGTACAGTTTTCGAATGCATAATCTTGATGACACCATCAACCACAAATAGATACGACGTTTCAGAAGTCGGTGATTCACATTTAGAGGAAGCAACAGCTACTGGGGAAACTTCTTGTGCTAGCATTCTCAACTTTTTTGCCTATATAACACCTCGAAATGTCCTAAGGCCAAGAGCTGCATTCAAAGCAACGAGTGATCCAGCAGCCACGCCAAATTGTAGTTGTAGATGCAGATGAAGCAGGACTACTTTACAATCATTCGACTCGCTATAAATGGATCCATCTATTGCTCCCCTGATAGTCGTTCCACTAATCGTCATTGAGTTAATGAGGAGATGTCAACCAACCACCCAATCATGATTTTGGGGTAAACAGGTGTTCGAAATCATGTTGATACAATCTTCCTGGTGTGCGGTTGCGAGACTGTGATTGCTCCAGAATCGTTTTTGCATACTCCATAGAAAAAGCTTCCCCATCTTTTGAAATCCAAGGTCATCAAAGGATTTTTATCGCGAGTAGTTTATGGTGTGTGGCGAAGTCATTGATGTAATGATAAGAAACATTTCTCATTTCCAACAATCAGACAAACCTAGAAACTTACCAATTTCTTTCGAGAGCTTTACAATATCGTCTGGCGTAATGAAACCTTTTGAGCCTGTGTCTACTGCAGAGAAAAAGGCATTCATTCCTTCTTCTCTATCTCGAGTTTTCTTTCCAAAAATACCATGGTTAGTCAAGTACAATGTCTCCAATTAATAAAAGACGAACCTCACTCCAACAATCGAAGATATCCTCCTGTAGATCATCACGTACATTGGCTAAGAATCTGAGTACTTCCTCCACTGTGACATGCTGAGGGTGAACGAAAGGCTTTGGCAATATTTGTCTTGCCAGCTCTTCCTTCTCTATGTAGGGGTAGCCGAGTCCTAAGTACATAATGTAGAGCGCGTCTAGCTCCAGGAATCCAAGCTTGTCGTCGTCTAATGCTGCGAATGATTCTCTGATGTCATGCTCGTCGATAGCATTCATTATCCCACTGTTTTTATTTGAATTTGATTGATTGATTGGGGTTCAGGTCTTTTATATGTGGTCCTGTTGCGGTCGAACGTGTCAATCGCCATGGAATCTCAACGTCATCCAACCATGTTCCTTGCAACGAAAAGATGCATCCAAACTGAATGATGATGGTGGAACGGTCACTCTTGCTAGTATCGTTGTTGGTACTCTCGTCCGAAGCCTTTGTAGTACCTCCATCCAAGACCTACATCGCCCCCTCTGCCATTCATGCATCCACAGAACAGCGAGCAGTGAAAGAAGAGGAAGTAGACGTCGTTGTGATTGGAGCAGGGTTTGGTGGTCTCTCTTGTGGAGCCTTGACCTCGAAATATGGATTCAAGACTGTTTGCTTAGAGGCACATGATACGCCGGGAGGTGTCGCGCACTCCTTCTCTCGATACAGCTCCGCCTCCAAGGAAACCCCATTCAGTTTTGATTCTGGGCCATCTTTGATTACTGGGCTATCTGCCAAGAGTACCAACCCTTTGAGACAAGTGCTGGATGCGATTGGGACTGCTGACGAAGTCGATTGGAAGCAATACGATGGGTGGCTCGTTCATGACTATGCTGATGGGAAGGCCTTAAAAATGACAGCGGGCGACGGTGGAGAATTTGAAAAAGCAATTGAAGAAAAGGCTGGACCAAAGTCTCGTCGTGCGTTTGAAAAATTCAAAGACGAAATTCTAGGCAAAGGTGGATTGGCTGAAGTATCAGCATACATTCCTCCGTTTGCATTGAGAGGCGGAGCAAAGGTGATCTTGTCGATCTTCCAATACTTATTCAAGATGATGACCATTGGAACCAAAGGTCTCCTCTTGACTGGACCTTTTACTAGTACCATGGATTTGTATGATATGAAAGATCCATTTCTTCGAAAATGGTTTGACTACTTGGCATTCGCGTTGTCCGGTGTCGACGCTTCCAACACGCAAGGCGCGCCTATTGCCTACATGATGTCCGACTTGCACAAGCCAGGTGCTGTTTTGGATTACCCAATGGGCGGAATGGATGCCCTCATTCAGGCCCTTGTGAAAGGAATGGAAAACCATGGTGGAGAATTGCGCGTCAATAGCCGAGTGGAAAAGCTTTTGCTGGACGATTCCTCTGGAAAAGCATGTTGTGTTGGTGTGGAGCTTTCGGATGGAACCCGTATCAAGGCCAAGCATGGCGTCGTCAGCAACGCACCTCTATGGAACTACTGTCGCATCGTGAAGGATTCTGTCAACCTCGAGGATAAAGACAGCCCATCAACCAAGGCGTATTACTCCATCAAGGAGCAGGCTGACGAAATGAGCGCCACACGAAGTTTCATGCACCTGCATCTTGGAATCCCGAAAGATGGCCTTCCTGAAATGGAGTGTCACCACTCTGTTCTCAACTTTGACCATCCCGTTACAGACGAGCAAAACATGTCCATCATTTCCATTCCCACTGTATTCGACGAGAGTCTTGCTCCCGAAGGTTACCACATTGTTCATGCTTATACTGCCGCTAGTGACAACTTTGATGAATGGATTCCCTTCCAAGAAGAAACCGGAAAAGTTGGTTCCAGTCCCAACTCTGGGACATCTCAAGAATATGGGAGAAAGCAAGGGTACGAAGAGCTCAAAGCTCAAAAGGCAGAAGCACTGTGGAAGGCAGTAGAATGTGTCATTCCAGATGTGAGAGAAAGAGCCAAACGTCCAGGCAGTGTTGTACTTATTGGAACCCCCCTTACGCACAGAAGATACAACCAACGGTACAAAGGAACCTATGGTCCTGGAGTCAATCCTGGTAAAGAAGTCTGGGAACTAGCAGGTGCAACGACTCCATTCGAAAAGATGTTTGCTTGTGGAGACACTTCCTTCCCAGGCATTGGGTTACCTGGAGTTGCTGCAAGTGGCACAATCGCTGCGAATACGATTGCCTCTGTACAGTCACAACTGCAATTGATAAAGGAACTCAAAGAAATAGACGCTCTGCAATAGATGATAAAAATGGAATTGTAGGAATTACATTATTTTATATATTGTAGTAGAAGGCAGCATTATCACACGGTTCATCATCAAGCACCATTTCGAATGCATTTGTTGACAACACTGACCAATGCTTTGTTTTCTAATGCTGCGCAAATTCTCTCTTTGTCCCGCAGCTGCTTATTGACGGATTTTTCACTCGCATGAGTTCCTGGCTCTATACTTACGTCCACCTTGAATCGTGGAGGGATGGACCGTTTCAGCTTGACGGTCAGAGATAGTCCAATGAGTGTGGCCATACTGCAATGAGGAATTGTGGGTCTGTGACGAAAGAAGTTAGAATTTGATAGTGATAAGTCTGCAATGCCATGATCACAATCATGAACGAACTGAGAATACTCACGTGAATCGAACAGCCACACTGGAAGCCTTCGGCGCCCCCTCCTTCATCGCATCCGATGATTCTTCTGATTGGTCAAACACCTGGACCTGCGCCAAACTGACAACACCTAGCTCTTCTAGTGTGTTTGGATGCTCGGGATCTTGGATCGTGCGAATGACATCGAATATTTCCTCGGCACTAATCTTGTCCCGGAGTGTCTCTTTGGATTGTGCTGCATTGTCCTTCGTGGAGCTTGACGCCTCAGAGGATGACTTTGGGGAAAATTTGAATCTTGGGATGTTCTTTTTTTTGGATAATGAAGGATTGGAAAACGATATTCCAGCATTCTCCAAGAGATTCACGTTCCTTCCCCTGGTTGCGGTTGCCGCATCCGTCAACGCTTTAAATATTGCGATGTCTTCTGCACTCGTTGGAATCCACTCGTCATTTCGTTTCTCAAAGGTTCCCAGCTCTGACCAGTCACATCCCACATGGGATCTTTCTTTTAGTACTGAAAGAATGGTTGGGTTTGCATTCTCTTTGGCTTTTCCCTCATTCCACGCCATGATGATGATGATGACAATAAGTTTTGTTTCAGTTTCTTTTGGGACCTGAATTCGCGCAAGGAGCGCGCAGAAATTCCTCTCCGAGGGCTACACTGCAGTAACGGCAAGCTGTGGAAGGAACATCATCATTGTCGTGGCCTCCTGGAAACGTGCCTCTAGTGTCCCCTCTCAAGAAAACAAAAAGAAAAGAACCCCAGATTCAGTTTCAATCAAACTAGATTGTTACAGGTTGGCGGATGAGTCCGTTTCCCCCTTAGATTAGATAGATTTTTTCGAGTTTGAAGCCGTACACAGTTGAGCGATGAACGGACCTTGGAAGGAAGAAGACTCGGCATTTGTGGATTCCTTTTTCCTACCGGGAGGGATTCTAGATCCTGAAGATGAAGAAGAAATCGGTATTCTGTCTACACTTCCGACTGGTCAGCCCATTCCCAGCAACCCGTGGGGAAACGAGAAGGCTCCGAGCACGCCCTCCTCAGCTGCCTCTTACCTCCATGCTGTGAAGCAAATTGAAATAGAATCAGCAGCATCCCCAAATATGTTTGGAGAGCGAACCGTGGGAGAAGCAGAAGTGCGGATGAACAGTCCGCTGCGTAGCATAGTACGACCACCACCTGGTTATGATGGCTACGTTAATGGACTTGCACCAAATTCTCAACATTTCCCGAATAACGTTTCTCGCATGGGATCAAATCATTCAAATGTACTTCCAACAAGCCACATGAACCAAGCGTCACCAGTTCATTGCGATGGGTTATCTCATCTCCAGAACGGTTTTTTGATCAATATGAATCGAACCTGCAGTCCAAATCAATCGAACATGAGGTATCAGCTTTCTCAGCAGGGGTCCATACCAGCAGGGCAGCACCTACCTCCAGTCGATTCATACTCAACGAGGGGGTCCTCACTGTCTGTTCCTTCGCTTGCGATTGAAGTAAATCCGAAACAACGAAATGTTCAGTGTGTACAATCTGACCAATCTACATCTGCAACACTAAAGAGCAACGAGGAAGCTTCCACCTCGAAGCAAAATGTACAAAATCCTAGAATAGAGACTTCAGTGCAGGAAATAAGGTTGAAGCTGGAAAATGAAGGATCAAAGGAAGAGGTTCCGGAGAGGAATTCCATCACGTCGACCACTGTCGATACTGGAGATTCTATAGATGCTTCGTCTCATATGATTCCTTCTTGTGATAGCAAAGATGAGGTTTCAGAACATGCTCCGCAACATATTGTTTCTGGAGTATTGTCACATGAGCAAAATTCTGTCGGCGAATATTCAGAGTCACAAAGTACCATCGATGATCATTCAACGAAAGATACTGCTGTTCTCAATAAATCTTCGTCTCTACTAGAAATTGATGACGAAATGTCTAATGTGGATGGCAAAACGGAAGGTCGAAGGCATTCAGCTGCAACTTGCCTAGGGCACCATACATCCAAAGTAGCACAAGGTGCGGCTACCTCTTCCAGCTCCAATGTGACTCAGTCTCCACAAATTCGGTACTCGATGTCGTTGCTGCAAGGAATACTCAGGCCATTCTCACTCGTGTTTCGAATGGTAACACTGCTCCTACTGGATTTGCCCCGGACGGGGGCAAATACAATTGCTTCCTTTTTTGCCACAGTCTACTACTGGATCCTCTCAACTGCAAGAAGGGTTCGTGTTGAAGTTGTCCCTGTCACGAAAATAATTGCTCATTCTATCAGTGATAATGCAAAGCGATCGGGTGCAAGTGCGAAAGGGGGTGCTCTTCTTTTGGTCCGGAATCTTTCATTGGTTCCTTCTTTTGTCCGTATGATGACAAAGGCTTCAATGGTTCAGGTTATGGAAGAGCCGAGCTCTGGCTTCTGCTATCTTGTCCTCTACTTGCTACCGAGTTGGTGCAATAGCCTAGCAGAGAATTTTGACGTGCCTCACTGGTCAGCGCATTTCATTATAACCATCGCGGTCTACTTGGTTTCTCACCCCGTGAAACCGGGAATTCTCCACCGTGGGGAGTTCCCCCTTGCGGAAGTTATAGAGGCCTTGTTTAGAAACGGAAATCACTGTGACCAAGCATTTATTGACAAAGACGAACGGCGTGCCGCTGCACGGAAACGCAACGAGCGCATTTGCAGCAAGTGTTTGAGGGTACTGCGGTATTGTTTGCCCATTTTCTGTCTAATTGATGGGTTTTCATATGACGGTGCAACCATGATTGGAGATTCCGGGGCTAGCAGACTAACGACTGCCTTCATGATGTCACTCGTACGCAGGAATCTGGCGTTTTCTCCCATTGGCTGGGTCAGCTGGGCTATCCAAGTTCTTGTGGCAACCTACCTTGATGTCTGGGTGTTGCGAGACACTATGGTTTTGCTTCTTGGCTTGTCTTCCTTCAGACTGATACGCTACTTTGACCAAAAGCGATTGAAAAAAAAGAGGAAGAGGCGTTGAACTGTAGAACAGAATTTTGCTATTTACTTTTTCAAAAACAAGCAGCACATTCACCATTTGTTGATATTTGAAGTTCGCATCTTTGTACGTAGAACTTCGTATGGTACAGTACCAATACAAAGTATCTTTCCAGGATTGGAGGCAGATGGCAAACGCCTTGTTCCCACAAAGCGTCGACAATGAAGGAAATCGACGGAGACAAGATCTTGACCTACACAGTTTCGATCGCATTAGCGGTCGTTACTGGCGTGTTTGTTAACAAAATCCCGAGAACGCGCGGAAAGAACCCTATTTTTCATGCTATTTTTGTGGCTGCTTCAATTGCGATCCTCATTTTCTTGCCTGAAGAAATCCAAGAAACTGTATTCTCCCCCGGCGGTGTAGGTAAGGCAAATATGACTTGACGTTAGTGTAGAAGCACCAAGGAATCATCACTGACATGCTTTGCTTGATCTCTGTGTTCCAGTTGTGGTTGGAACTATATTGCCAGTCTATGTTTCCATTGTTGCCATCCTCACCCCAGGTGAAGCGGACGATAGTACATGGCTAAACTTTTGGGTTGTTTCGGGCACTCTATCTTACCTGACTGAGTTCATTGACGATATCAAACATCACATGCCAAATGGAGGCGAGCATTGGTAAGATGCCATTTCTTTTCTCGATCGAATTGTCAGCGTCCGCTTATTTCTCTTTTTTTTTCCCCTTTGAATATTCTCACACGAACAGGTACGAGTTCGAGTTCTTCTTGACGCTTTGGATGATATTGCCATTTACCGACGGGTCAACTTTATTTTACGACAAGATCACCGAACGATTCATTCGTCCCTATGCCTTGAAGGTGAAAACATACGCGGAAGGATGGATTGGCTTCCTGATGCTCGCCGTGAACAGTTCCTACCTTTGGTTTGCGTGGTTCATCTTCATGTCATTTCCCGAAGAGCAGCGCCGGTTCTTTGTAATTGCGATGGGTACAGTCTACCCCGTTGCTGCATCTATCATTGCCTTGACAACAAAGGAAGACGGAAAGGATGATAGCTTTTGGTTGACATATTGGGCGTGCTTTAGTTTACTTTTTTTGGCAATGGACTACCTCGAAAATTTCATTGGTCATATTCGTGGATTCTACTCCATCTGCATGGTTGCAACCATATATCTATTTCTTCCAGCGTTCGATGGGGCCAATGTGGTCTTCCGCCGCATTCTTGTCCCGCTTTCTGGGCAGTACGAAAATATGCTGTTACATGATGCCTACCTTGTTCGCAAGGATATGGAAAAGAAAATCCCAAATAAGTACCATGAACGAGTCTTCCAGAGGGCTGCGGGTGTTTTTACAAACCAAAAGAAAGAGTAACTAAATCTACTATTGGGGGACCTGTCACTGTTCAGGGCCCATCAACCGTACAATCTCAATCGAAAGGGAGACCTGATGATCAGTGATAGTGCATGGCATCTGTTTGCTTTTTTCATCACCTGTATCTGTTTGCTTTTTTGAACATCATACAGACCTATTTGTACTAACAGGTAGGTTAACTATTTTGCCCCACATAATACGATAAAATAGGTGTACAGTATAATTCCAGTAATTTAGCAGTCTCACTTTCCCCTCTTGTTTTCCCCTGCTACGTGCACCTTTGCCCCCCCCCCCCCTGACAATTTGCCGCCAACACACCAAAGACAATAGCAATCTCGAAAGCGACAACAATGGACTGTATCATCGTAGGCTACGCAGTGAAGCCATTCATAGCAGCGCTTGCCTGTTTGACTCGTATTGGGAAGGAGATCACAATTGATTTCGACCCCATGGATGGTTTATCCTTGCGATCATTGAATGATTCAAAATCGATCTTCTCCTCCTTTCATTTTGAACCTTCGTATTTCCAAAAGTGCTCTACTCCGCCTTTTGCAAGTAGAAAACGGCGTAAATCGCAGAATGACAATGAAGATCATTGGACTGTACGAATTTCGATCAAGGCACTGGCACCCTTAGTCCGACCTAGGAAGGATGTCCTAAGTTTGCAACTTGTCACTGTGGGTGACTTGCTATCCTTTGAATTCCAAATGCAGCGAGCGTCGGGGGTGATTGTGGACATTATCCATCGAGTAGGATATGCTCCAGCACAAAGTGTAGCAGCAGTAGCGGCCACAGATGGGGCATCGGAAATTGTGGCACCACCACAACTATTGCTGACAATGCTGGAGCCGTTGAAACGTGCGAATGAAATTGCGCTCTTGGTAAATGATACCCACAATCTCGTTTCGGGCGTTACTTTTTCGCACGATGATATTGCGAAGGAAGCATCTTCGAATTTGGCAAAGCGTCAGCTACTCAAGACCGAAACTAGTATTCGCTACGATGAATTCATAGAGGTGGAGTACATGTCGCACCCTGACGACTCGGTAAAGAATGACCCCGTTCCTCCGCCAAACGACCTCAAGGAACAGGTAGTTCTGGTATTTACGCTCAAGGAATTCAAGTCAGTGTTGCAATTCTGCTCACAGGGTTCAGATGCCTCCTTGCCAGTGTCGATTTCTTTTTATTGGGGAGGGAAGCCCATTGTCGTGAAGACAACTGGAGAGCACTTTTCAGCACAGCTCATTATGGCCACCTTAGATCATAAAATGATGGCAGTGATGAAGACATCATCGATCAATGGACCACTTTCAGCATCCAAAAACCAATAGAAAAAGGAAAGAAACGATGTTTACTGTATTTACTACTTTATTTCACATTTTGACCCTCCTCCTGAAGCTACTATGTGTCCTGCTCGCATTTTCCAGAAGAAAGTAGGACTTGTTTGCCATCCATCTCATCCACAACACTGTAACGTAACCATGTTCAGTGCTTAAACGGAGAAGATGAGTTCTAGCTTGACTATTGATGAATAGGTACGTGTACTACTGTACCGGTACAGTAGCATACAGTAACGAGGGAATTTTCCAGGAAGGTCCAAGGTGAAAGGGCCTAAGTTATGCCGATATATAGTCTGGCCTCCTCCCGGAATCCATACCAGAAGCCAAGGCGGTGGGAGGTGGTCACATTGAAAACACAAGAGCCCTCCGAGAGCCAAAAGCCATCGTTGGAAGTATATCACAGAGAGAAAATAGCGAAAATGGCCGAAGAAACAGCAATGACAGATGCTGCGACGACTCCAGTGGAAGATATGAGTTTATTGTCCATCACTGACGGAGAGAATGCCCGTGGGATTCCTTTTGTAAAGTTCATTGATGATGTTGACAGCTTTGCCAATTCCTTTACTCCACCAGCCAGCGCTGAATTGATTATCGGTGCTTATTCTGAGTTGCATTCTAAATTCAAGACTTTTGAGACTACATTGACGCAAAAACGTGAGTATAGGTGGCGCGAATACCCCAATCCATTTACATGTTATCATCATATGATGGGAAACGATGTCGCCTTTGACAAAAGAGACACACTAAACCAATTGTAAATTTCACCTGCAGAACACAACTATAAGCAAAAGATTCCAGATATCGAAAAGTCACTGTCGTTGATAAAGAATCTCGTCAAGAAAAAGGAGGAGAACGAATCAGCAATCACACGGTACAACTTGGCGGACAGCATATACGGCAAAGCAGAAATAGATTGCTCAGCGGGAATCGTAAACCTTTGGTTGGGAGCGAATGTCATGTTGGAGTATACCTATGAAGAAGCCATTGCTTTCTTGTCACAAAACGAGGAGTCAGCACGAAGGGAGTTTCAAACTGTGAAAGAAGATCTGGCTTTTGTTCGGGACCAAATTGTGACCTCGGAAGTCAGTATGACACGAATTTTTAATTGGGATGTAAGAAAGCGACGTGCAGAAGGAGAAGGAACAAAGTAATGTAGTGACAATTGTGGATTTCAGCGAGGTTTTCAAGCGCCAAACAGTTGCGTGTTGCCTCCTTCGTAAAGAACGTTCGATCACTAGCTAATATCCGCGTTTGAAACAAGAGATCTGAGCGTTTTAACCTTGCGTTGTGGATTGGTCGGGTTTAGAAGTCGTTGTTGTGTACTTTCCGCGCCCGTATCGTACTGTACCGGTAGGTGTCTGAAAGGCCAAAGTCAGAAGTCAAAAGGTACAAGAGTAGCTTCTCCTGAGTCTGCCCGTCTATCGTTTGTTTATCAAAGATCATTTTTTCAAGTTTGAAATTGAAGCACAAATCAAAACTCGTCGGTTCCAAGTTGAAATTGATGAACAAAAGTCGGGTGAAGAATCATCTTTGCTCGTCTTCTTGGTATCACAAAATCTACGATATACATTTGTGTCCGAGTACGCGTCTCTAGTGCTGTGAAACATGATGAGAACTACGATATGGGCCGTCATTGGTTGGATTGTTCTCGTGAACTGTTTTCTCCTAGTGATTGCAAATGCTCCTCCCGGCCAGAGCGATGACCCAAATGATCCCCGAAATCGATGGAAGACATTTGTGGACTTCTCTGGTGTCGATGTGAGTGGTGATCCGGCCGAGGCGGCCAGAAAGACTGTTGACTTTTATAACTCCGACTTGATGAGCCGGATTGAGAAACTGTACGAGAAAACGAGCACAACAGAATGCCGTTCCTTGATAGGAGAACATTTCGGATACTATCTCAAAGCATTTGCAAATGAGAAACCATTGCCTTTCAGCGACAAGACATTCAAAAATACATGTGAGGAAGAAGATGAATACGACTTTGACAATCTCCCACCAGGCGTACACATGGGAATGATCCAGAATCGGACGTATCAGCCTCCCAGAAACGAGACTAAATACCTGGAACCCTCTGAGATTGTGCTCTGTTATGGTATCCTGGCGCATGATAGTCCATCGGCTACGATAAGAATCATCGAAGCTGTTGATGAACCAACTACTCAATTCATTGTTCATGTCGATGCCAAATATGAAGAAACACACCAAGTCCTCAAGGAATATGCTTCCCAGCGATCAAGAGTCACTGTACTCGATCATCCCCATCGCGTTCGAGTCAATTGGGGTGGATTCTCTATGGTAAACGCGACGCTTCAGATGATATATCACGCTGATCAGATCGAGTTTACTCATTTTGTTCACATGGCTGCTACTGCCTATCCAATTGCCTCCAAGTAAGTGTAAGCGTGACTCAATATGTGCATATGAACCTGTGCTCATCTTTAAAACTTTGCTTCTAGTCGACGGATCAGAAATACTCTTGCTGACTTCCCTGCAGATGCTAATTTTATGCACGTTGTGCTGAAACCGACGAGTCCAGCCCTTCCGATTTGGAACTACTATGTTGAATGCGACGATAGACTCCATCGAATCTTTGAACTTCCTCCTCTACGGAAGCAAGTACATGGAGTTGACATTTTTACCTCGAGTCAGTGGTTTATCATCAGTAAAGAGTATGCCAACTTCTTGGCACATCCCGAACCCGGGAGCTTCCTGCAAGAGTACATGGACTACATGAAACATGCCGTTGTCGCTGATGAACACTTCTTCGGAACGGTACTTAGGAACACGCACTTTTGCGGCAAACATCACAACTGGAACTTTCTCCACTTACAATTTGATCAGTGGGAGAATGAAAGAGACTTGAACATGAGAGACGAACGAAAGTGTATCATGCCAGACCCAAATCACTGCGGACGATCGCCGACGACTATGGAAATGGACTATTTAGATATTTTGGAGTTGAGTGGAGACCTGTTTGCTCGAAAGTTTGACGACGAAGTTGACCCAACGATAAAGGACGTCATTGACAGAATACGCGCCAAGGAAGAAAAGGAGCTCATTAAATTCAATATCACAAAACCGCAAGCACCGGCCTTGCACAATCCTTTGGCTTTGGATGGGCACGGAGTCTTATTTGTTGCGAAGGAGACCATCAGCAGCGAAAATCCGTTATGCATGGGACTTGGTGAAGAAAGAAACAAAGTCCGTTTGGTTCCATGCTTTTATGAGGATGTGCCTCCGACGCTTGCATCCAATTGGGAGACGGGAGCTGTGATTTTGGATGAAACGGTTCCGCACAACCGATGGGAAATTGGACCTTGTAGTTCCGACGGGGATCTGAGGAAACTGTGAGTATGGTGGAGTGTCGATGTTTGGCATTGTCTTTTCATCGTGGACTCAATTTCAGTTCTGTTCCATTACAGATACTCTGGAGATGTGGAGGTTATACCAGGGCAATATAATCCAACAGGTCCAAGATGTAATCTAAAGGTGATGGATGGACTTCGAGTTGGGAGATGCCTAGATGGTGAATCATTTGACCCGCAGCCAGGTGGGCCAGTGCATGTTTTTCCTTGCCATAATCGTTGGCACCAGTACATTTCCTTTGGAGACGGCACACATGCTCCAACCGGAGCACTACATACCAATGTTCCGGAACACACTCGCAAGCGTATTGCGGAAACAGGACGAGAGCAAGAAGCGTATATGTGTCTAGGTCTGGAGGGTCGCGGTGAAGATGAAGAAGACTGGCTTGGAAAACGGAAAGAAATGATGGAAAAGATGTTGCAAAGGGAGTTAGAGCAAATGGAGCAAGATAGTGACGATAGTGAAGACGAAGAGGGATCACTTGTTGACCAGAAAGAGGATGGTGAAGAGGATGCTACTGAGACAGATGCTGCAACGGAGGAGGAAGGTCCACTTGACATATGGCACTGGGAATACGAACAACTTCACGCTATCAAGTGCTCTAATAAAGAAGCTGTCATTGAATGGGTCCTTGTCCCATTCATTGAAGAAGACGATAGTACGACTGTGTATGAAGACGAAGATGGGTCTGCCGATTCTGGTGATGAAGATGGACCTGAGGAAATGGAATGGCCCGATCCAACAGAAGACTCTGATGTCGACACAAAAACAGACAAAAAGCACGAAAACAAAGAAGAAGAATTGTAAACTGTAAACTGTAACCATAGTGAACAAATTTTTAGAACTATAACTAATTGATTGATTCATACGGATATTCGAATTTATTCCTCCAATTCTCCACAATCTTGGACGACTACCTTCTTGCTAGTCTTTCCAGACTGGCTTCCAACTGCCTCGACAGCATCTACAACATCCAATCCCTCAACGACCGAGCCAAAGACCACGTGCTATGCAAGCAGCAATATGATGAGACAATGACTTCACGCAAAGAAATTCATGTCGTCCTGATGCTTACCTTTCCATCCAACCAAGCAGTTTCAGCGGTACAAAGGAAGACTATGATCGACGGATGGAAAGCGTCAGCAGCAAGAAGCACCTAAAGCCGAATAAAGTACACAATATCATCCGGACTTACATTGACTGCCATTGGTCCCAGGTCCAGCGTTGGCCATACTCAAGATCCCTTTTCCAGTGTGCTTCAACTTGAAATTTTCATCGGCAAACTTTTCTCCATATATCGACTCTCCTACGAAAATAAAAATCCATTACTGGCTGAGCAACACGCCGAAAGAAATCAAAAGCCCAAGAAAATACCATGTTTATACCATGCTTACCTCCAGTGCCATTTCCTCTTGTGAAGTCACCTCCCTGATGGATTGAAAGATTCATCAAAGTTAGCTTTGTTGTTCCTCACACTTTCAAGAATTCTATTAGAAAAATTTAAACCCCCTTTTACTTACTTGACACATAAATCCCGGGATGACACGATGGAAAGAAGATCCCTTAAAATGGAGTGGCTTTCCCGATCGTCCCTTGCCCTTTTCCCCTGTGCACAACGCCCGAAAGTTCTCGGCGGTCTTCGGGACGACATCTCCTCGGAGTTCCATGATAATGCGACCAGCAGGCTTTCCTCCAATCGTAATATCGAAAAATACTTTTGTTTTGCGACCGCCTGCTCCAGAGCTAGCACCCGCTTCAGAACTTGATCCGCAACCCATCTTGAATTTTTGTTGCAGTTGCACTTTTTGTGATGTCCTCTTCGTTTGTTTTCTTACCCTGTGACTCGAGTGAGTCATTACTATTAAACACTATACAAGTACTATTTCAAAGCACTACGGAAGTACCTGTGCCCATTCTCCATTCTTCATCGCATTTCTGCCACCGACAGCCACCACAGCAGCATTATCACAAGCAGGAACACCATGCCTCGTCGTAGCCGTTCCAAAGCAGCTAGGCGCAGCAACCAAGAACAAATTGAAGCCAACGAAAATGGAAATGAGGCTGGAAGAAGCGTTGCCTCTCACGTTCGGGATCGCCAGCGTGCAGTTGCGGAACGAGAGGCTGCCCGATTAGCTCGTCCTGAACAACGCAAGAGAGTGAAACTAGCTCATGCCGATCGCAAGAAGAGTGCAGTGACTTCCACACCCTTCGGACTTCACCGTGGCTCTTCTACCGTGGATGATGAGCCGGAAGACCAGGAATGGTGCGGCCCGTTTAGTGTGGCCCGTCAAGTTTTGCGGCAACGAGAAGAAGCAAAGCGCAAGGCTGAAGAAGAGGAAAATAATGCGGTCATGCATCCGCTCGATGATCTAATGAATCAAGTGGGACAAGAACAAAAGAAAAAAGCTCATCCTTCATTGACCTGGAAGGGAGACGCAAAGGGAACAACCCCCTCTTCTCTTTACGCCAAGCGACAAATGCGAATGGAAGCCCGACAAACCAAAACTATCCCAACACTCTTTCAACTTTGCGTTGATTTTCTTGTGGATAATTTCGAGCATGTCGAGTCACTTGGAGATGTTGATAATGACTGCCGCCTAGCTATTTCCAAAGAATTGGTCAAACGAAACCAACTGAATGCCAAGGCATTTGAAAGTTTGGTTTCGAGCGATATGGATTGCTTGGAAATTATTGACTGTGCAGGAATCCCCCAAGATGTCATGGCCAAAGTGCTCACAGGATTACATTCTCTGAGCTTTCTCATGTTGACACACGCGGGACGATGCTTTGGTCCCAAGAGTGTCGATGTACTTTTGGAAACAAAGCCACCTCTCTGTTGTCTCTCGATCGCGGGAGCTTATCTTCTCAAAGATGAGCATGCCGCTTCTCTGATTCAAGTCAGTGCCTCAACCTTACAATCCATCTCTTTTGATACGTGCCCCTTGCTAGGGGAAAAGTTTATTCGTGCCATTGAAAAGACGGATGGAACTCTGTTGGAAATATCATTGAAAAATCTTAGCCTTTCTTCCGATACCTTGAAAATCTTGGCCACTTGTAAGGATGCCATGCGCAATGTCAGGAGTTTGACTTATGAATCCATGCCTGGAATCACCGATGCTGTCTTGGGCGAACTACTCCAAGTGGTGGCCGATTCCTTGGAGAGCCTTGATGTCAGCCACAATTACGATCTTACCGATGCGTCGTTGTCGGCCATTCGACAATTCAATATAGGACTGCGATCTCTCACTATGAATGGTGTTAAGGAACTCACGTCGTTAGGTCTTGAAACTTTCTTCACCTATGATTTGGAAGGCTTGCCCTCGCCACCAAAACTCAAAGTCTTAAAGTTGGCTTCTTGCGATCACGAGGCTGTGACAGATGAAGTTCTCAAGTTGGCCACGGCCAATTCGTCTACTCAAAACAAGGAGTCGATGGGTCCTAGGGGAGGGGGATTGGTCCAGTTGGATATTGAGGGATCCACTTTGGTGACGGACAGTACACTAGAACATCTAGTTGAGGGTTCTTCGGCAAATACCTTGACGGAGATGAATCTGAGTTATTGCCCACATATAACCGACCAAGGTCTAGGCTACTTTGTCTCCAAGTGCGGAAGCCAACTATCCAAAATCCAGGTTTGGGGTTGTGCCCAACTTTCGGATGGTAAGTTCAAACTCATATCTGATTTTCTTCTTTCCATATCTCATCATGTTCTCTTTATCAAAACACTAGAATTCTTCGACGGTCATGACCGAGTCAATGACGCGAGTTTTGAACTAGTTGGAGCTTGGATGAAGCGCAGCGGAACACGATCTTTGAGATGAACAGAATGGAAGAGGTGATCATTGATTCTCGTGCTGCAACTGCAGCATATTTATACACATGAACCTAGGGTAGAATTTCGTATTCTCAAAGATTAACTTTAAGGTTGCATCAGAGCATTCAACTCCTTGACAATCTCTAGCAACTCGGGATCTTCGGCGATAGCCTTTTCGATCCCATCTTGACCCTCCGTCATCATGATTTTCATTGCTTCTTGCATCTTTGAATTCTGCAGTAACGCCATAACATCTGGGTTGCTCATCAGTTCTTTGAACATGTCGGGGTTCATGCCTCCAGGTAAAGTACCATCGTTAGCGATAGCTTGTTCCAACTCTTCGTCCTTGATTTCCAACTTGTTCTCGTTAAAGTTATCCTCCAATCGTTGCTTGTTGAACTTGTCGAGAACATCCGGGCTGGCCTTTCCAGTGGCTCGTGCTTCCTCTAGTTTCTTGGCCAAGGAATCCTTATCAAAGCAATCCGAATAGTCTACGACGCGTAGGTCCAACTCTGCCTTGATCTCAGACACGCGCATCTTGCCAGGTTCAATCTCTTCGTCATCCTCGTCGTCAATTGGAGCTGAACTCATGTACATGGCGGAAGCTTGCTGTCGACTGGACAGAATTGGGACATGGCTCCCAAACGATTGTGTTTGAAACGCTGAAGAAGCAGCAAAGAGGATCGATACAAAGAATAGTTTCATGATCGTGGCGTTTCGAATTTGTGGTGACGAAGTGATCGATTTGAGATTTGAGTATGTACTGTTCATTCATTCGTCGTCAGTCCCGTTCGGATTACAAAAGTCTTTCTTAGTCCCTGCGTCAGTGGACTTCAAAAGTCCCATTTGGAGTCGAACGATTCGACGCCTTCCTCATTAATTGCATTTCAAATCGAAGTGCCAGGAACGGAATGAAAAACAAAGCAAATGCAAACCTATGTCCTCGAAGAAAGAACCACCGATAGAACCATAAGGTTTGAAGATGGTGAAGCCTCCGAAAACAATGCAGCCGGAGCAGGTGGACGTCTCCAGAGCTGGTCGCAAAACTGGGAGTGCGTTCCAGCAAGATAGCTTTCACAACTACATGGCTCGAAAAATTGACTTGCAGCGACAGCAATTTGGCCAACCATCGCTCCCCCCTCCTCCCAAGTCCCTTCCTAAGACATCCCCGTCCATTTATCTTCCAAGTTCACCATCTGCCGAGCAATCCATGCCACAAAAGTTAACCAATGTTCAAGAACGGCGGAAGGAACTATCACCTTCATCTACTCCAAATATATCAAACACGTTACCATTGTCAAAGCCATCAACTCCACGAGAGTCGGCCAATCCACAAGAAGTCTCCAAGGCGCCCACATCTGCAATAAAGAGGAAGTCGCCTGCCAAGGCTTCCGAGAAGCGAAGTGTACGATTTGCTCAAGAAGGAGGACCAGAACGAAAGTCGAAAAAACGAAAGAAAACTCCCATGACTTCAATCATTCGGAAATTGAACAGACGACATGGGAGATTGCTGAAGCGGCAAAAAAGAATCTCTAGAAGGGAAAAGAGAAGGCGTATGGCATTGGAGGAGGAGTGTGAAGTACAAGAAGAAAATATTGTTGCCACGGAAGAAGACAGCCCGTCAACAGGTGAAGGTAGCCAAGCATACACTCCCAGGGAGCACACTATTGCACTGGATCAACAGATTGAAAAAATGCCGGAAAAGGGTGAAGAAATCCAGTCCTCATCAATGAAAGTTGAAAAAGCATCTCTGGAACCAGATGCTGAAGATAAGATTCAAGAAGATACGCCACCGTTGGAAGACGACATACCGGCCGTTGATGATGACGAATCTGTCGAAGTGCCGAACGCAGAAGCACCGGCTTCTCCGTTCGACATTCGGAAATCTCGACCGGATCTTTTCTTCATTGGTGTCACTATCAAAGTCAATGGATATACAGAACCAGACAATGAGACGCTCAAACGAATGGTACGACGAATGCTTTCAATTTCCTGCTTTCCATCTAGCCTAATTTTCTCACCACTTTCTTTCATTGATTGTAATAGATCCAACGACATGGTGGTCAGTTCGAATGTTACGAAACTCAACGAGTTACTCATATTGTGGCGGAACACTTGTCCACTGCAAAGGCCAACATCTTCAATAAACAAAGGAATCCTGTTCCAGTGGTGTCTCCCAGATGGATTACCGACAGCATCGAACAACAATGCCAATTGCCCCATGGAAATTACTTGATAGAGGAGGTACGAGACGATGGCCAACAGAAAGGGATCAAAGATATATTTGGAACGGCTGTTAACAAGGCAACTCGAAACAAATTGCCATCGCTTGATGTTCGTCCAAACTCGGAGATTGATAAGTCTGATGAACGTATTACCTCAGAAATGGAAACAGATATTGAAAAGAAAAGTGAGATAACAGAAAAAGAGGAGAAGGCTGTTGAAACTGTACCAAAGGAGCCACCATCGAGCCCGCAGAAGACCAATACCCTTTGTATCAATGGAAGAATCCGTACTACTGGCACTGACCCAGATTTCCTTGAGAATTACTTTAACAATTCTCGCCTTAGTTTCATTGGAAGCTATAGACAACGATCAGAGTCGGCAGGTGCAAATGCACCGAATACATTGAACAAGGACTTGGCCAATTTACCAAGCTATGTCTTTCATGTGGACATGGACTGTTTCTTTGCGGCGGTTGCGATTCGCAACTTTCCACAATTGAAGGATAAACCAGTCGTCATTTCACACCATGGAAAGAAACGAAACAATGGGGGTGATGGCATTTCATTCGAAGCGAAAGTCTCCAAGAACTCAACATCTGAGTGTGCAACCTGCAATTACAGGGCAAGAGAGTTCGGAATAAAAAAGGGAATGTTTCTTGGACGGGCAAAGGAACTATGTCCAGAATTGGTGATCCTGAACTATGATTTTGAAGGATATCAGGAAGTCTCAGCGCAAGTGTCTGAGATTCTGCATCAGATAGCCAGCGAGAATCATGGTTCCGTTCAAGAAGTTTCTTGTGATGAGTCTTACATGGAGATGCTACAGGAAAGCCATGAACAAGCGGCGGCGACTGCCGAAAGGATAAGAGCTCAGATCGTTGAAGCTACACAATGTACAGCCTCGATTGGAGTCGGAAAGAACAAATTTCTTGCAAAGCTTGGAACCGATAGAATCAAACCGAATGCGTCGTATGTAGTCAAAGATCATCGGTCTTTGCTCGAAAACTTGAATCTACGAGACCTCCCAGGAATCGGTTGGAAAAGCGCGCCAAAGCTAGTTACTGAAGGGCTGACAACAGTTCGTCAGGTTTGGGACTTGGGTTCGAATGCCGTCAACATTCTTGAACGAATTCTGGGAGGTGCTAATGGAAAGAAAATCTACAACTATTGCCACGGAATAGACGATCGAAAGGTAGAGCCAGCAAAGCGAAAGACTATTGGTGCAGAATGCAACTATGGGGTTCGGTTCGATGGACCATACGGAGTCGATCATTTCTTCAAGTGTTTGTCGAATGAAGTGCAGAAGCGCATGGAAAATGTCGGTGTGAAGGGTCGTCACATCACATTGAAGGTAAAGCAACGAAAGGAAGGAGCCAAGTTGCCACCAAAGTTCTTGGGTCATGGTAAATGCCACAGTCTATCGAGAAGTATGGAAATACCTGGATCGAGAGCAACGTGTGATGCAGGGGAGATCTACAAGGCCGCTGTGGGTCTTTTCAAGGAACTAGCTATTCCACTGGACGACGTTCGGGGTATGGGCGTAGTTGTTAGCAAACTTACAGATGGTGAAAATATCACCAACTCGTCACTTACCAAATGGCTTGAGGTGGCAAACAAATCCAATGGGAACAGTGAAGGAGGCGCAAAGGAAACTCACATCAACGAGTGTGAAGAAGAAAAGACTGCCGATTCTTCTCCAGCTGACGATGCTGAGATGACAGACTCATACCAACATAATGGTGCAGAGCAGGATGCAATACAAGACGACGGCGAACAACAAGATTCGATCTCGGCATTTCACAGTCAAGACGTCTTTGACCCAAGAGGTGACACAACATCTACTCAAATCATGTTGCCTCCATTGAGCCAGCTACGCATGAGTCAAGTTGACGAGCTACCAATAGAAATGCAGCATCAAATCAAGGCACGGCTCGAAAAGAACGTAGAAGATGAGGTTTCCGAAGTCATTCCTGTTATGGTTTCTGGGTCTCCGAAAAAAGATGCATTGACAAGAAGGGCGAATGTGCCATCCTCCAGACATGGGGAAAGCGACAACAGACTCCGTCAGACAGATGTCCAGGATATGCTCAAACTAGCAGCTGTCGGAACAGGTGTTGCCACAATGGATATATCTCTTGATGTACTGAATGAGCTTCCGATGGACATCAGACTACAAGTAATCAATGGTGGTGCATACATGGGAGTGTCCAGCTATGTCGCTGGAAAGAACCAAGCTGCAAGTATTAACCATGAAGCCCAAAACTCTCCGAATACAAGCTTAGTGGAGGAAACCACGAAGAATAGTACGAACAAAGGAGATCACGAAGGACTGAAACTAGCTGGTGAAGACTTGAGAGCCAAAGAAGAGCCACCATCACCTATAAAACAACGCCCAGCGAACTTGTTTGAAGAAGACCTCCTCCCACTGAAACTTTTTCTCGACGAAAACTATTCCACTGACGTTGAAGCCATCCAGCTTGTTGTCCAGTTCTTGACAATTTGCGTCCAAGAGGGGCGGCCTAAGGATGCTCTCACCATGCTACGATCAATTTGCAACCGGCAAGACGAATGGGGTACATATTCCGTCATCAGGGAAATATTTGAAGCATTGGACGATGAGTACTTTCGTCAATACAGAGCGAGATTAGATTACATATCAGTCATTGGAGAGGACAATCGCAAGCATCCACCATGATCACCCATTGTAAGTTCCATCTGTTCAAAAATGTAATACTGTAACTTCTGTAAACAAGTTTTTAGAAAGTAGCTATATGGTTTCTCCACCATCGTCCTTTTCGTCCAGACTAGGTGGTGGCTGTTGAAAGATATCTTGGAACCTGGTCGTCTGAAAATGGGTCAAACTCGAATCATTAAACGCCTGCTCAAACTGACCTGATCGATCCGAGAGATCTTGCTTGCTGATTGGGAGCATTGACTCATCCCAAAGTGGTTCTACCTGTTTCAGAAGCTTCACACATGATTTTACTTCCCCCAATCGACTCGTATAGGCCGAAAGTAAATTCCCGAAGATAATGACATCATTCAGCTGATCCCAGTTCGTGCGTATCAGATTGCTGTATAATGTTAGTGGGCAATGTGGCATTAAGAAGAGCGTCTTGTGTTGAACTCGTCGCCGGCCCCGCTCGTTCTTGGCAATTACTTGTATCGAATTCCGCTCCAATACGATGGACTCTTGTTGTGTCATGCACGGATCATAAAAGTACATTGATGCAGCGGGAGACAGGATTTCTCGGACCGCAATGGTAAAAGCCAGCTGAAACATGGGAGCGCAGCCCTTTGAGGCACCAAAGTTGCCAACGCCATAACACACAATTTCCACAATCGGTTCTTTAGATGACGCGATGGTACTACTTAAGGAATCTCTAAATGCTTGAAAGAAGCCAGATATCCTCACTTCGTGCAAACAGCTTTGCAAGGATCCAGCGATGTCGTCCAGTGACAAGTTATCCTGGTCGAATTGTTGTCGCTCAGCAGCCTTTGAATGACTAGACCTATACTCGCGCTTTCTGTTCCGCATACATCGTCTGGAGCTCTTTGTGACTGTCGTCCACTCATCAGTCGACGCCATATGTTTGTTGTTATATAATAGAAGCCACCGCTAATGGGGTAAGCGGTTTTGAGTTTTGAGGTCTGAGGTTGGTCTAAGGAATCAAATATTGCATTCAACCATTCATTTTCTCACTTCACAATCATCCAACCAACAGAACAAAACATGAAGGACACATTATTTCTTTCGTTGCTATTATGTGTATACGCTTCCCATACAAGATATGGTGTGACAATGGCTTTCCTTCCACCAAGCCGTGAATATTCTCGGCTTTCGACACATCAAATAGGAAGTACAGCGGAAAAACGACAAGGGTTCGAGTCCATCCTTGGCGCCGAGAAAGCAAAGCAGCTAGAACAGCTCGTAGAGGAACGTTCTCTAGCTCGGTTGGAGGGGAACTATTTACATGCAGACATGATTCGAGACCAAATATCTAGCCTGGATTTGCCTGACAATTGGGAAGTAGTGGTGACGGATGTACCAAGGAAACAGGGTGGAGGATCCACTTGGGAACTAGTGCAAACGAAACAAGAAATGCCAATCTTGGAAGGTCCAACCGTTTTGCAACTGGCACATGCAGCACTTGGCTTGGCAGTGGAATGTTCTGTTCAGGCGAACCTCGGACGAGCACATACTGCCTTGGGAATGCAACAACAAACTTCCCACAAGGAAAATGAAGGCAACGAACAACTAGATTTCATTGTGGAACAAGCCAAAGCTAGATTTCAGCATACCAACTGGACCGACGCAGAGCTGGCAGGTAGAAAAGCTGCGGATGCTGCGTTTTGGTTTGCTCTTGCAGGGGTGACCGATCAATTCATCTTTGAAAACCTCACCGACGTTGCTACTCGCGAGCTGGGTCGTTTTGGTTCTCGATCCTCTTGTCGAGCCAAGGACATCTACCAGATAATGGAACGCTTTTCGGCGGCAGGATTTCAGAATACGGATCGACTGGAAGAAGCTGCCAAAAAGGCGCTGATTGCCAAAGGAGATACTGATGATTGTGACCCTCTTCTAGACTTCCATTCCGATCGATCTCTGTTATTGATTTGGAAATTCTCTACCAAACAAAAGAAGCAACGTGCATTCTTACGTTCTGCTCTCACGCACTGGCAACGGCAAAAGGGAGATGGCGAAGAGGAAGAAAGCGGAGACTCAGAATTGACGAAGACTGATGATATGGATATCGGGGAGGCCCAAATACAGGAATATAACTGGAATGGTATGTTCAAGGATCCTTCTCGACCTCTCGTGATTGATGTTGGCTGTGGCATGGGTGTATCATTGCTGGGCTTGGCAAGTGGAAACAGCCAAGTATCTTCACAAGTTCTACTTGGCGAAAATTCATCTTCATTGTCATGGAAAGACTGTAATTTTGTTGGATTGGATCTAGGAGCACTTGGAATTGGGTACGCACGCGGCCTAGCTTTTCGTCGGGGCATTGACGATCGCCTCCAATTTGTCGTTGATTCTGCAGAAAGTTGTTTACAGAGCTTGGTTCGATCGTATCCCGGTCCCATCAAACTTTGTTTGATCCAGTTTCCGACCCCGTACTCTCTAAAAACAACACCAGGGACTGGGAACACGCAGCTGCCTAGTTCGCCTCGTGATGGATTTATGGTCACAGAAGAACTTCTTCACTTGGTGCATCAAGCTTTGTCCAAATCGGATGGAAAGTTGCTGCTTCAATCGAATTGTGAGGATGTTGCTGTATATATGCACGATCTGGCGATAGAGAAGGTTGGCTTTCAAGTTGAAGCTGCTGATCAAAGCATGTCGGAGACAACGTGTGCATCATATGGCTATACTAGCTCAACTCCACGAGTACCACAACGAATGGCGGATTGGATTACCATGGGGGGCAAACGGGCAGTAGGTGATGATTGGAGTAAGGCACCCATTCTACACAGAGCAAGTGCTACAGAGACAGAGGTTGCATGTGCGCTGAACGGAACACCCGTTCATAGATGCGTACTACGAGCAGTTGGCGATCAAATTTAGCTGGGTCTTTGGTTGCATCCGCTAAACCCGGTGGGGTCCTGGGGTTCTATGTGCACGCCATTGCGTCCTCCAACATTGCCGATAGCTTGTCTTGCTCCAAGAGCGGAATGAGACCGGGCTCTCCACTGAAAAGTCCACCGATTGGTTTCCCACCAATGAAAATATGAGGAAGAGACGATTGACCTGTCATATCAAGCAATGCAGCTCTTTTGATCGAACCGTTTGGCGCAATGAGGCCTGGCAACCATTCCTTTCCAAGAGAAATCTCCTTGTATTCGACTTTTAGACTTTCCAGTGTTGATTTCACTTCGAAAGAGAATGGCGAAAGTTCATATGTATATACAACCACGGGAGCGGAAGCAGTCTCTTCTTTGATTTCAGACTTTGCAGCTTCCAACTCTTGATCATACTTGGAAGAATCTTCGTCCGAAGATCCTGCTTGAAGTGGTGCCGTAAATTTGAAAATTGGCTTGGCAGCGGGAATGATTGATTGAGATGCCCATTGCAGGATTTCACTTGGTGGCGTCCAACTAGCATAACTAGCATAAAGGTGGCGTATAATGTCAGCACTCTCAGCTAATGATGTGTCGGTATTCGGATCAACTGAAGTGTCGAAGAGTGTGAGAGAGAAATATCACTTGGCAGGTGCCACCGCAAAGCATAGTTCATACGCACCAAGATACGGACATTGCGTCGATCCACCTGTGATACCCGCCAATTCGTCTCGTCGTGGGGATTTCTTTCCTGCCGACCTCAGTTCATAGGAAATGTCAAGCTCTGTCAAAACCTCCCTCACAAGTCGGCAAAACTGATTGCCTTCGTAGGAATATAGTATTAGTTTCTTTTCAGGCTTGTTCACCTTGTTAGAAGCAGATGCCGCTAGAGCGACAGAGATGCCTCTGCCAGTTCGAAGCAGGCCAGCAGCAGTCAAGCTCACAGGTGTGATTGCCTCAACTACCTGTTGCAGTGTATCAGTATCAGTGGATACCTCAGATGCTTCTTCCGAAAATGTATTCTTCAGAAATTTCCTGATACTATTGACACCGCTCACAACAGTCTCTTCTCCGCCGTCGGAAATGGCCACCAAGCAGGGTACTTCCTTTGGAGGTTTGTGCTTGGACCCTTTGCCAACAGGAACAATATCAACGACTAGGTCCAACTCTGTAACGAGCTCACGAACAAGCCGACAGTCCCTGGAGTTTTCCACATCGTACAATTTCAGACCAAAACCACCTTGTGCTTTGGCATCTGGCGCTACACCGACTCCAGCAAGCCCATTCTCGCGTACTCGTACAATACTTGCCAAACCAGATGTCAGCGTGTCGAGTGCAGTCGGCACCGAATGAAGCTTGTTTACTGCATACCGCTGTCCTCGATTGGACTGCAGAAAAGCAGCACCTTGGCAAAGCAAGGTGAACGCAAGGATGGAATGAAACATTTGCTTCGTTGGTGTCGGTATGGGGTCTGGTGGCTAGTGTCAGCGGTTTTGTGATTTTTGCGTTCGTGTTATTATTATGTACCGGTATCATATTTTTTATTCTGCAAAGTGGCCCGTCTTCTTTTCCCCGGGCAGCTTTGCTTACTACTTTGCGGGTGTGCACGTGAAAACTGAGATGTACATTACGGTGGGGTTTGGTGTTCGGGTGTCAGAAATTAAAGCTATTTATTTAGTATACATTTGCCTGTAGCAGTGTCGCACCATGTCGCAGTTGACCACATAAATTCATCGTCGTTTTTCGGCCGACTCAATCGACCGTATATTCGACTCAGTCGACTTCTGTTTCTTCTGTTCTAGAGCAAATGGGTTACCGCAAATGAACAAAACGAACCATCATGGTGAAGAATCTGGCAAGCATCCCTCTCGTTCTGCCCTTCGCCAAGTGGGTCTGGGAAGCCGCAGACAACCCAGAAGAAGTTTCACCTGATATATGTCTCTCAGAAGTTCCCTTTTTGAGTCCTGGATGTTTTTCGGCACTTTTGGCGAAAGCATTGGGCGTGGCAATCATCCTCGGGTCGTGCGTGAATAAGGTTCCTTTGATAATGAACATGCAGAAATCCAAGTCTGCAGACGGGATCAGTAGAAACTCACTGTACGGAGAAGCTCTCGTCTACGCCGCTTGTGTCTTCTACGGTCTATTACACGAATATCCATTCTCCTCATGTCAGTTACATCTTTTGCTTGCCTGTCCATCGTTACTTCTTGCATCCTGATTTCTCTCACTCATTTTTTCGATCTACCTGCTGGTTGACATAGATGGTGAAAACGCATCTCTACTAATTCAGAACTTTGTCTTGATTGCCATGGCTTGGAATCTAAGCGCTACTCCTGTTTTAACGCAAGAGAAAGTGATATCTTCGGGAGGTTTCGTTGCCTTCTCCATCGCTGTCATGTACCTTTTGCCAGAAGACTTGCGATACTTGTTAATGTCTGGTACCTGGCCGGTCATGATCTACGCTCGCGGCTCTCAAATCTTGGAAACATTCCAGGTGAAACACACGGGAAACCTGTCGATTGTCACAACGAGCATGAATCTTGTAGGATCCTTGATCCGTGTAGGAACGACGGTGCAAGAGACTGGAGATGTTGTCATCTTGGCTGGTTACATCTTGAGTTTCCTTCTTAGCTTTGCAATGTTTGTCCAATACTTTTTGTATTTGAAGAATACCCGAGAGTTTGCGACAAAGAGCAAAAAAGATTAAACACCGTCGTCATGTAGACTGCATGGCCAATATGCCCTTGATTTTCTGCTCGACAGCCTCCTTCCAAATTCTGTAGCCATGAATACTTAAATGAAGCAGGTCAGATTGAAAGTACCTGAACTCAGCACTTGCTCGGCCCCCAAGTACAGCACCCGGTATCTTTGCACTTTCACCACAGAACATTGATAAGCAATCTACAAAATGAAGACAATTTGAATTGCCTCGTCTAGAAAAGCACCGCTGAAATGATCTTGACATTTTGCTGTATTTTTTCTTGGCACCCATATCATTTTCTTGCCAGGGTTCAAATTTGGGGCCAAGGAATATCACTTGATGTTTCTCGGACGATGCAAGTATCATTTCCAACAATTGCTCCAAAACACTAACGCTATTGTCAAGCGAAAGCCCTTCTCCAATGTCGTTTTCTCCAGCACAAAGAACGAATAGCAATTCTTCGTTTCCATGATCTTCTAGTATTCGACCCAAATGACAAGAGATGTCGCGTAGAGTCGCACCTGAATGGCCAGATGAGATTGGTGGTTTCTTGGGGGTAGGAAATGTCGGATGCAAGTCTGCAGGCCAGCAGGCTATATCGGAATCGCCCAGCAGCACCAGGCGGAGGTTCTCGCTCATGGGTCAACACCTACCGGTACCGGTACAAGAAACAGTACGAGTACAGCATTTGAATTTGTTGTAATTGTTATTCGAACGAGTCAACAAATCCGATTGCGTCCGGTAGGATCCATCAGATGGAAAGGAGCATGGGCCTTTCGTTTGTTGATATTCCAAAGTCAAAACCTACAGTACAGTACGGTGCCGTACATAATTAGTTGTGCACTCTTTCGTATGCTTCTTTGAATGTCAATTCATTTCTCGGACTGCTTCATGTTAACAAATTGTAGTGACTTTATTGCTCGATTGACAAGGAATGCTGACATCTATCCTATGTAGTTATTGTTTCTATCAATACCTATTTCTTGCGTTTCTTACTCCGCTTCTTACCTGGAGTTTGTTGCATTCCATCCGAACTCGGTGGGTCCGAACTCTCGTCACCATTGGGCGCGTCGTTTGCCTTCACGGTCTTCTTGAGCGACAGTTTGATTCTTAGTTTCTTCTTTGGGGGCTTTGGCGGAGTCGCTTTCGCTTTGGAAGGAACCATTTCATCATTGAGTCCATTCTTTTTCAAGACACGTTCCAGCTCTTTGACGAGAGCCTTGCCATCTTCCACAACCCATGATCCATCCCCATTGAATTTGGTTGCATTTCCAACCATGAGTTTCCAGTCATCTCTGTATTCTTGCACATCCGCATAGAGCTTCCCTCTGCACTTTCGAAGAATATCGTTGATCGCGATCGGTTTCTGAATGAGCTCGTAGTAGTCAGGGAACTGCTCAGGTGAAGGTTTTTCAATAAAGATGTCGGATAGTCGTCGTTTTGTAGTTGGGTCCTTGAGTGCGATGACGGATTTCGTGCATGAAATAAGCTTTCGGAAAGTCCAGTCAGTAAGATCAGTGGTTGTAGTAGGGAGTGTAGCACCGGTTGTGTTGGCACTGCCACTTTCATCGCGACGTGTTGCCTTTGCTTCCTCACGAGCAGCAGTCTCGCCATCGAACTGTTTATCCATCATGCGCATAAACTGTTTCTCAGTCAGACCATCATCGTAAACAACCTCTTTCCTCTTTCTGGGGATGTCATCCATGAGTGGATTGGCATCACTGATGGAGTTCGCTTTGGTCTTTGGTGGATACTTGATCCAGTCTGGCACATCATGCTCTGATGTGAACAAGCTGGAATCGACAACAGCCTCCTCCGTCTTCTGATTGTCAAACGAACGGTAAAGCTGATAATCACTCTCGTTGTTGCTGAGAAGATCATTCAAGTCTTCCTCCTCCTTTTCGTCATCCTCGTCAAGGTCGTCATCTTCATCGTCCGATGGTGCAAGATCCGACGTAATCTTTTCATCCGCTTTGTTGGAACTGAAATCAGTTAGCAAAACTTCCATCATTTTCTTTCGCTCGAGACTGTTATCATTCTCTACACTACGCTTGTCAAATTGGCCAGCTTCGACGACCAATTCACTCATGTTGAGCTTTTCAGTAGCACGGCTCAAAATCTTTTCTTCCACAGGAGAATAAGTTATCAAACGGAATACGCTGACATCACTACGCTGTCCAATACGATGAGCACGATCCTGTGCCTGCAAATCCATCATTGGATTCCAGTCGCTGTCAAAGATAACGACAGTGTTGGCAGCAGTCAAGTTCAAACCAAGACCACCAGCTCTCGTGGACAGCAAAAAGATGAAATATGGCGAATCGGGAGCATTGAATTTGTACATTCTCTTTTCACGTTCTTCGGCTGGTGTTGAACCATCCAGTCGAAGTGACATGTAATTTCGATAGTGAAAATAATCCTCCAAGATTGTCATGACAGCTGTCATCTGCGTAAACATCAAAACTCGATGCCCTGCTGCTCTAAGCTTTGGGAGCATTCGATCCAAAAGCTCAAACTTGGTGGAGGATCGAATAATATTCTCGTTGATATGATATCCTTGTGGTGAAAATAGGTATGGGTGGTTGCAAACCTTTCGAAGCTGCATGACAACATTGTTCAAACCACGAGAACTACCCTGTTCGACAAGAGTGCTATTTTCTGCTACAGCCTTTTGACTGATTTGTTTGTAGAGTTCCTTCTGCCAAGAGGACAACTCGCATCGGAGTATTTTCTCCACCTTTTCAGGCAGTTGATCTAACACTTCGCTTTTGACACGACGAAGCATGAACGGACGGAGCAACTCATGAAGACGGTGAATGATGAACATTCTCTCTTCGTTGGACAAAAGGTTGGCATCGTCATTGTTGGCTTCTTTCTCGTTTCCAAATTGTGAAAATGGTTTATTGAACCACTGGTCAAAAGTGTCCACAGAATTAAAAATTACGGGCAACAAAAAGTTCAGCAACGACCAAAGTTCACCGAGATCGTTCATGAGTGGAGTTCCTGTCAGCAGCAGTCGATACCTGGTTTCGTATTGTGTTGACAACGTCTTTGCAAATTTAGAGGCAGCATTCTTCATGCGATGACCTTCATCAACAATGGCATACTGCCACGTGATCTTGCGAAGACTAGACTTGTCTTTGATGATGTACTCATAGGTTGTCAAGAGAACGTTGAAGTGGCCATTTCGAACTTGATCCTTGTACAGCTCTTTTCGCTGCGCCGGTGTCCCCTTATAACAAATCACATGTGCTGATGGGCACCACTTTGCAAACTCGTTCGTCCAGTTGGAAAGGGTCGAAAGCGGAACAATGACAAGGTAAGGACCAAGGTTGTTTTTGAACTCCATCAAATAGCCAATCAACGAAATAGCTTGAATGGTTTTACCCTGAAAGGAATTTATGTCAGCATGGCCAAGCACAATTCTTCGAAGCACGAATCGTTGCAAATACTTACCAATCCCATCTCATCAGCCAAAATACCATTGAGTTTGTTGTTGTACAACGAAACCATCCACTGCAGACCCGACAATTGATATTCCTTCAAGTCACCACCAACCAAGATACTTGGTTGCCGGACTTCTTCCGTCTTCAAATGCGCTGAAGCATAGTACGAAGCCGTACCACCGGACGTGGACTCTCCTGCATCCTGATTACGAGACTGCAACAAACTGGTGGAAATTTGGGAAAAGTGACGTTCCGTCTTGTCCATAAGAAATTTCAAACGCTCGTTCTTGGTCTCTTCCAATAGTTTGGAATAAGCATCCATATCATTGGCCTTGAGTGCAGCCAAACGAGCTCGTTCAGCGGCGGCTGCGTCCTTGTCCTTCTTTCTGCTCTCCTTGTCCATGTTGTCCCGAATCAACTTGGCTAACTTCAAAGCATCTGACTTGCGCTGCTTATGAAACTTGAAAAAATCTTGTTGGTGACTTCCAATAGCCTTGGAGAATTCCTTGTGTTGCTTGTTGAGCGCCTCTGCTGCCAGTTGCCTCGTCTTGCGAGCTTGTCGATCCAAAGCCTTGGCAAACTTTTTGGGTTCCATCTTTACGCGTTTGAAACGTTCAGGCTCGAGTAGTGGAGTAGCTTTCAACATGTTCTTGCGCAGCGTTTGTTGAATTCGAATGGCTTCTTGAAGCACTTCTGCTCGAGGTCTTTTGCGATTCGCTTGAGGTTTGGGCTTATGTGGTGGTATCACCGCCATACTTTGATGGGTTCTCAGAATGCCCGTGACCGTATGAGCAGGTGCCAGATATTTGCCCTTTTGAACTGTAAAGATACCTTGGTGGACTCGTCTCCACTTGGTCCTTTCTTCATTACGAAGCTGCATCATCCGTGCCGTTTGGATTTGCAGAGGAGTCGGTGGTGGTTTGGGTTTGTTAACCATGGACATGTGCCCAGCATGAGGTTGTTGCATTCCTGGCTTGCCATATGGGACATGAGCAGGATGTACATTGGGTTGAGCATAGCCCACCCTGGCTGCTGGATTGTACCCACTTGCAACTGGTCGAACTGGAACCGTGGAGGCAGCCGCCTTGGCATTCTTGTGCTTCATGGACTCCCGACTACGAGCCACTTGGGCAGCATTTTCAATAGCGCTACGTGGAAGTCCAGTCGCCAATGCTGCTTGCATGAGCTGGGGAGCAATCTGGCCAGTGGGCGACTTAATAGCCGACCAAATGGCCTTGGCCAACGCATTCTTGGCTTCTGCACTGAGAGTGACTTTGGGAGCCTTGTTCGCAGCTGGTTTTGGAGCTTGTGGCTGCACTTGATTGGAGTAGTTTGCTCGAGCTTGGGCTACTTGTTGTGCAGCCATTCGCTGCTGCGCCGCTACCTGCTGGGATTGCTGTGCATTGGATGCTGCATATTGTTGTGGATATCCCTGAGGCGTAGCTCCTGCTGGCATTGGTCGAGATCCTGGTGCGCCACCCATTAAAGGATTTGGTACATTCTTCCAGCTGGCTTGAGCACCTCTCGCCGAAGCTTGCATTGCAGCAGGATTGGGCTGCCTTTGTCTTAGTTGATTTATTTGACGTTGTCGGTGTTGAAGCTGTTGTTGATATTCCTGTCGAAGATGTTGCTGCGGCGGATGAAGCTGGCGTTGCTGTTGCAAATGACGTTGTTGCTGTTGCTGTTGTTGCTGCTGCTGGGCCATAGAAGCAGCATAAGCAGCACTCTGTGGCGTTGGCCTGCTATTGCCATTCGCATTCATTTGTTGCATGTGTTGAGGAGCCTTGTTGGTTTGATGTTGGTGGTGGTGTTGGTGGTGCTGCTGCTGCTGGCGGTGTTGGTGCTGCAAATTGACGCCATTGTTCACAGCCATGGCAGCGCCAGGTGTTGCCATGCTTATACCGCCCGTCCTGGCAACCTGTGAACCATTGGAGGGCTGCACGTGACTTCGTCCAATGCTGGGATTTGCAGCCTGTGCACCGCTAGTAGAAACGTACTGCGTAGGAGGCACTGTGGCAGGATTGAAGTTGACATGACTTGACGCATTGTGCGGGGCATTGTTCGACGGAGCTGAGGGACCTGTAGAGCTGTTGGAATGCGATTGGTCCATGCTATGCGGATTGAATTCCTGAGAGATCTCGAGAACAAACGATCAAAGGTCTCACTCTTGGTGTGAGTGAGTGATGCTCTCCATTACAAGGTCAAATTCTACGTGTACAAATGTACCAGGAACTTTGAGCAGTTACGATTGGGGAACAGTGCGCGAAATAATGCGCAGACGTGTACATGAGTTCAGACTCATAATCTATTTCCAAGCCTTTATCAGTACCGATTCGAATGGATCGCGTCGATGACAGAAAGCAAGCAAACGATCGTTCCTTTCCATTTCCAGCAATGAGAGCAATCACCCATTTCGTCTTCTTCTGCTTGACTATTCTTACCATGCTTTCTGCCGGAGCCAAAGCTTTCACTTCCGTCTCTCGCCATGCTCGCTTTGGAGCTCCCATGGCCCGATTTATGAGTAGCGAGGCACCCGATACCTCCATTGTGGATGTTTGCACGCTAAAGATCAAGGATGCGTTGGATACTTCGGAAGTCAAAGTCACTGGAGCCTATGATGATCCCAATGGAAGTCACGTCTCGATCGAAGTGGTTTCTTCCATGTTTGAAGGAAAGAGAGCGGTTCAAAGACAACAACTTGTCTACAAGGCCATCTGGGAAGAACTTCAGGGACCAGTTCATGCTGTGGATTCCATGGTTTGCAAAACACCTGATGAAGCATAATAAAAATTGGAGCTAGAGTTGTTAATGATTTTGAATAAATTACAATGCTACAATGGAGTGATTTTTGGAATATATTTCTGTTGTGATTCACCGTACTGTAGTCTCTGTACGATAGTATACCAACCCTATTGCTGACGTACTGTCCTGTATTTTCGACGTGCACATTTCAAGCAATTCCCAAAATATGATTCAATCGTTGCCCCAATCAACAACATTACACAGTAGTAAGCTACACACAAATGCATTTCGACAGCAAATCACAAAAAGGAGATGCTGTTTGTATTTATGTTTGTTTTCTTCTATACACGTTATTATATTTTTCAGGAGTGGCTACCTACATCTAAGATGCCTTGATCTCATTTAGTGCTCGGTTGGTCACACTGGCAATGGCGTTTCCGTCAGCCTTGGTGATTTGATGGTACTTTCCAAGGGCGGCATCGGCAATATCCTTGGCCAATCCAGTAGAGATGAACTTATTCTCAGTATCAATGCACAGCAAGTTGAAGCCGCGAAGGGCACCCAACTTCTTCGCAGTGGCCAAAACTTCTTCCTTGAGGAACTTTCGGCTGGGCTTGCCATCCTTGGAGTCTTCATCGGCATCAGGGTCGAATTCGTCACCCATAGAGACGCACATTGGAACATTAGCACGACCATCGGAAATCAAGACGACTACGACCTTTCCAACATCTCCAGTCTTTTGAGCGTTGAGTCCAGTCAACATGGCAGTCTATGGGATTAGAGAAGAACAGTTGTGTTAGAATTGGTGTTCGAACGAAAAAAGGTGGTCAAAGCAAGACTTCAAGGCTTACCTGTATGGCATGAGCAAGAGGTGATCCTCCTCCACACGGCATTTGCTCCAGTCTCTTTCTTGCCATTGTAATGGACTTGGTGGGTGGAAGTAACACATCTGCCATTTCTCCTTGGAATGGAATCAAGGCGATTTGGTCACGACTTTGGTAGGCTTCGGTCAGCAAACTGATGGCGGCACCCTTCGCGGCGTTCATTCTGTTCAAAGCCATGGATCCAGAGGCATCACAGACAAAGATAATCAGAGAACCGGCTTTTCTTGCCATCTTCTTGACTCGGACATCAGATTGTTGAATGTGGACACCTCGGCCCTCGTACTTTGTGCCAATAGCCCGTTCTCTTCGACCCTTTTGGTATGGGGCAGAAGCACGGAGGGTGGCATCAACTGCAAGTCGGACGACCTTACCCTTGGGGAGCATGGGCTTGATGTAACGACCACGGTCATTAGAGAAGATCAAGCCTCGGCCTCCTCCCTTTCCAGCTCGTTCTCTGCTGGCAAAATCGATAAGATCGGGGTCCATTGGCGTGGCGTCAGCGTCGAACATGAACTCTTGTGGAACCTCTGGGACATCGGATTCTTCACGATCGTCTTCCTCATCTGGCTCTTGTTGGTCGTCCTCGTCTTCCTGTTCTTCTTGCTCTTCTTGATCCTCTTCGTTGTCATTTTGTTGATCGTCCATTTGCGGCGGCGGCGGTGGTGGCGGTGGAGGAGGTGGAAGCATTTCATCGTCCATGGGCGAGTTGATAAAGGTTCCACGGGGAGCAATGGCAAGCTTGACAGCAAGTTTCAAATCATCAGAATTGATTTGTCGTCCCTCCAATGCAGCACTGGCTCTGGCAACCTCGCAGGCAAAAATTTCGGCACGGTGTCCCTGACAACCGGCACGGATAGCTTCTTCACAAAGGTATTGGATTTGGGATGGAGCAATAGTCAAGTCCTTGATGTATTCACGTGCGAAAACAATGGCAGTCTTGAGGTCACCTTCATTCTCGATGGCTTCAAGCAAAGCTGTCTCGGCTTCTACAGTCTTTTGGGGACCAGATCCGGCAAAGTTGAGAACACTGTCGACCGCTGCAACACGGTCGGTGATGTCGAGAGGTTGTGCGTTCGCAGAAAGAGCAACAGCAATTCTGTCCAAAAGGTGGTCTCTGAGTTCACCTTCATCGGGGTTGAAAGTAGCGATAAGAAGAGGTTTGCATGGATATCTCAGCGAAAGACCCTCACGTTCGACGGTAACGTATCCCTCAGTGACAATTCCAAGAAGAATGTTGGCAGTTTCTTCGTCAAGAAGATTAATGTCGTCAACGTACAAAACACCTCTGTGTGCCTTTGCGAGAAGACCAGGAGAGAAGACTGTCTTTCCGGTCTTGACACTCTCTTCAAGATCAGCACTTCCGATAAGACGATCCTCCATAACGTTCAATGGTACTTGCACAAAAGGGCAGTCAATGATTTCCGTCTCTCTTTCTTCAAGTGGGATACCACCATTGTCAATCTCGGCCCTTGTGAAGTCGTCAAGACCGAATTCACCCTCAGGATGAATATTGAAAGGAGATCCCTTGATGACTTCGATGGGCGGAAGCAATTGGTGCAAAGCACGAGCCATGACAGATTTGGCAGTCCCCTTTCTTCCAGAAATCACAACCCCTCCCATGCGCTGGTTGACAGATGCTAGAAGAAGTGCCTGCTTAATATTTTCTTGACCAACAATCATGGAAAGAGGGAATGGTCTGCCTCCCAACTCCATTTGCTTGATGGTTTTAATTCCAATTGGATCGGGATTGGCCATTGCTGCTTCAGCCTCCATCACCATGCGTGCTCTTTCTTCGGCAGCTTTGGCTTTTTCCTCATCTGCAACAGCACTCATGAATGCAGGTCGGATCGACTTGGTTCGTGCAGCTGGGACGAATGATTGGACCTATAAATACAAACACAGGGCCAAGGTTAGACAAATGGATCCTGTTGCTAACATCCGAAAAAATCTAAACTGAAAAACTTGATGCCTCCCTGTCGTCGATAGCTTCGTCGGATATGATTTCTAGTTTCATCGATACGACCGTTGTTCCTGCATTCTTCAGTTCGGTGTTGGTGTTCTATTTCCTGTCACTTACAACCGCTATGCATAGTGCTGCCAATATTAATCTTGATTCCCTTCTGAGAATCATTGCTCTATTAGTAAGACCTTCGACAATGGATCAAAAGTCGTGAACTGTGCTTTCAAGGAAGACACAGTTGGAGGTTGTTGAAGAAGTGCGTTTCTCGATCAAGTTGAAGTTTTTGTACCACAGCTACGCATTCTACAAGGATTCGTCCGCCCTTCGCTCGCCTGACGCGTGGAACCAACAGTCAGATTTTGGATCTTACTCACAAAGGACTCATTCAGCCCTTTTTGTTCGACACCATACCTAGATGTCGAACGAATGGGGAAATGGGAGCTGCGCAATTGCACTGTATTTACAATGGATTCTAGAAGAACATTGATCGTAAAATCGATGTAGCACCACCATAAGTTTCAACGATAGGGCTTTGCCTCCGCAAGAACGTCATCCTACTGTAGGCCTAGTACAGTATTGGTATTCCTTCCCTTAGCATTTTTTAAAACTTTCTACACGCTGTGGTGATAACACATGTGTACTAATGAGAAGGATTGGGATTGAAATGCTGTTGCTCAATTGTGTCTAAGAGTATAATACCAGTACAGTACCTAGCACGTTGTGTTCACCGCAATCGAACTCGTATTCGAATGAGTCGTCTACAAACGAACAAGATGAAACGAAAAATGATGGCCCAAAATTATATCGATATGAAAGTGTTGTTCATCCTAGCAGCATTCTTCCCGCTCTATGCCAATGCTTTTACAGCTTCATGTTTGAGGCTTACAAAAAACCAGCCCGTCGCGTTGCCAAAGCAGTCTTCTGCGTTCTTTCCACTTCATGCAAACGCTGATGACAACGAGCCTGTTGAAGGCATAGGATCGGATGTGGAGAAGTCCAATTTTGACGGGGAAGGTTTCGCAGGTTACTTGGCTCCCTATGCTTTTGCTGTGGTTGCATCCATTGCAGTGACTGCCGCGTTTGTCAAATTTGTTCTGCTAGATTATTGAGAATGTCTCGCTACTGTTTGATTTGCAGATCCATGTTTTCAATCATCAATCACAATAATTTCGGGCTCGCAGGGCGAGACGCTGGCTGGATCGTTTTTGCAGTTGTCCGCTTTGTAATCTATCGATTCAACTTTTGCTTTAGGAGGAAGGTGGCTCGTTGGCTGATCCATTTGTGGCTTCATGCCATTGCCAGAACCGTCGGTATCGTAGTCAACAATATCGTCCATTTCAAGGATGGCTGTCTGATCTTCTAGAATCTTGTCGGTCTCGTTTCTCTGATGGTCTCTTGAAAGTGCTGGTTGCCCAGTGATTGAGTACAAATTGTCCACATGTGGATTGACGTCTGTTGCAAGTTTAGAATTAATAAGATAAGATGATTAATCGTACTAGACACACTTCACAAGTCCATACGTACCGTTTGGAGCAATAGTCCGAAGATACGGGAGAGTATCTGTGTTGAAGGACGATGCTTGCCCTATAGCGTTCGACATAGAGAGATGCATACCAGCAACTTTGCGCTCCAGTTGATGAAATAAGTGTTGATTCTCTCGTCGTTTTCGCAAGACATCAAAGATCTTTGGAGTTGAAAACTGTCTGAATTTTCTTGGCGCTGGGTTCTTGTTTGTTTCTGCCACCGTTCTTCCAGCAACAGAGGCAGCATATGGCTCCATGAACGAAGTGTCCGAGCGAGACCACTGTCATTGGGCATTGGGAATAGTGAGGTTTCGCAAGACTCAAAGGATGAAAACGAGTGGGCAGGGACCAACATATTGTCGCAACTTACATCAGGGTGGTCCAGAAGACTTGCTGCATCACTGTACAAGTCGAATGCGCAACTCAAATCCGCAATGTCGGTGAAGAAGTCAACACTGTGATATTCTAGGAAGCGAAGCGAATTTCGGATCCCAAGGTCACTCCTTTCAAGCGTGTTATCTGGGTTGAAGGCTAGTATAGTCTTGCCATTCTCCTCTTTCCGTTTCGCATATAGAAGCTTGCCCAAGGCATGAAATGTGGATAGCTTTACATCACGACCGTTTCCGATTATCGTTTTTGAGCTAGAGCGGGGCGAAGAGCCAGGAACGTGAACTTGCAAGTTCATGACAGCGTAGCGAATATCACCTCCACTCCGAAAGTGAAGTTCTTCGAGCAAACCTTCCGAAACTTTGCATTTGGTTTGCTTGCATATCCTATCAAGAACCTTCTTCATTTGTGGTTTTGTGGCAGGATGAATCTGTCTTATAGAGGCAGATGACGAGTACAAGACGGTTGGGTCGATTAGCTTTTCCAAATCGTCCGGTCGATGCTTGCCTTCGCTCACATCTGAAAATATGAGTACGGTTGGAGCTTGAGATCGACTCATGTGATGACTCATCATCTCTCGAAATCGTCTAGCAGCCTCCAGTCCATGCAAATTGGGTAGTTCTTCCAGTAATATTATCGATTCTCTTCGCGATGCCGAATGGTCTTCTCCCGACATTTGGAGCGATGAGAACCCAGTCCCACTGTGCTGCAAAAAGTCTCGGAACGAATCAATAGCGGACGTCTGTTGAACTGACACTGTATTGCTTTGAAAGGTAGCATGACTGCGAGGTACGTAGGATGCATTCCAGGATAAAACATCGAGGTCCATTTCGTTGGCCAAAACTCGAACAGTTGTGCTCTTGCCAATGCCAGGACTCCCTACTAGAACCATCAGCTTATTCTCCCTGTGTTTCAATGCATCTTCAATCCAGTTTCTGATTTCTTTGACTTTTTTGGGAGCCACGCAGAGTTCCTTACTCGATCGTGGTGTGAAGCGATCCACCCACATGACATCTTTAGAAGAAGAATCATCTTCAAATGAGACTCGAGTGTTGGATGACTTGCGACTGCTTGGTTTGGATTCATTCGATGTCGTAGTATCGAGTGACAAGGGCCACGAAAGTCGTTTGGGTGCCTGCGGTTGGGAGGACGACATGGTCGGGCCACTCTGATTGTCTTCGCAGAGTGAGCGGCGTGTCGGTGCAATCATCAATAAATTCAAAACTTTGAAAAACAGTCGATTAGTCGGACTGCAAATTTTCTAGTTTCCACTCATCTCAAATTGACAGTACCTATGAATGATTGCAGCACACTGGAAAGGAACATAGCAGTAGATCGTAGTCCCACCAGTACCAAAGACACTATAATGTATCATACACAACCAGTACCGGTAGCGCTACAGTGAGTTGCCACAAAGACAAAAGAGGTCGTCGGATTTCGCTTTTGGAGTCCAGTGGAGAAGTGGAGAAAAGGCAATATTTCGGTAGAGGGGCAGACGCGGAGGGAGAATCGTCACCCAGCCCAGCGTCTCTTGACCATGAACCAGATGCAGCCTCATTTGTTGATGGTGGTAGTGGCTTCGCTATTGCACTCGCGCTCATTAGCATTTATCCTGAAGGAAAGGCGGCTTTATTCAAGCAGTAGAGTATCATTTACGGAAGCCCTGAAAATGGTAGATTACAAGCGAGTGAAGTACGATGAGACACCATCCAATAAGTTGATTGGAACCCACTCTGGTTCCTTTCAAGCAGACGAAGCCATGGGAGTATGGATGCTCCGCCAAGTCCCAGAATACCGAAACTCTAAAGTCGTGCGTTCTAGAGATTTGAAGGCTCTTGATCCCTTGGACATTGTCATCGATGTCGGTGGTGTTTATGATCATTCCAAGTTGCGATACGACCATCATCAACGTGGATACGATGAGCGTTTCGATGAAGGAAGAGAGGGGTCTGAGGGACGGTGCACCAAGCTAAGTGCATCTGGACTTGTTTATAGACACTATGGGAAAGAAATTATCAAGTCGTATTATCCTTCGTTGAGAGATGAACATTTACACTTAGCATACAAGAAGATTTACAACAGTCTGTTGGTAAGTTGTTTTCCAATCTGGCCTTTTGGATATTTTATTCAGTTTTCTAACCATGTTACACATAGGAGTGCCTTGATGCCATTGATACAGGTGTTGAAATGTTCCCCGATGGTATTGAACCGATCTATAGAGACGCGACAGGCTTGTCTTCACGCGTAGGTAGATTAAACCCTCGTTGGAACGAAGTAGATGCAGATGGCAAGCCACCCAGCTACGATGAGAGGTTTGAACAGGCATCAGCCATGTGTGGGGAAGACTTTATGTCTATGATGACTAAAGTGATTGAAAGTGATATCCCTGCTCGCGACATTGTTGAACAAGCTATTTTGTCTCGAAAAGAGGTTGATATTTCTGGAGAGATCATCAAGTTCCCCAATGGAGGTTTGCCATGGAAAAGTTATGTTTATGAAATGGAAGAAGAACACTCCATCGACCCATTGATCAAGTTTGTTCTTTATACTGACCAAGCAGGCATGTGGAGAGTACAAGCGGTGACAGTCGAAGGAAAAGCCTTTGAAAACCGCCTGAGCCTACCCGAAGAATGGAGAGGTGTGAGAGATCAAGACCTGGAAGGTGTGACTAAGATTCCTGGATCGAGGTTTGTTCACGCTGCTGGTTTCATTGGTGGGAATGACACGTTCGAAGGGGCTTTGGAAATGGCGCGCCAAGCACTGAAAAGACAATAAGGTTTATCTAGAATACTATAAAAAGGTAGAGTTTACGTATTCCAATCGACTCCAAAGAAATATACCGTACTTTACAAAGTAACGTAAACAGTGTCACAGAAAAAAAAGGGAAACTAATATAATCATCGTCTATAACCAGGACTATTGTTCTTCAATTGATCGAGAGATTAGAAGTGTTATATGCGAAGTCCGACTCACAGCGGGTGCCAAAAAAGACAGCTAAAAAGTTATAGACGACACAAAGTGAACGGTCCTTCGGAATTGGCATTGCAACCGTACAGCAGAGTATGGATGTAATCGATCTTTGCGACTCTGACGACTCTGACAATGATGGATATCCCCTTCATCAATTAAGAAGCGGTAGAGACGAGAATGATGCTATTTCTTTATCGTCTACAGAGGACGACTCAGCTGTCGTTGTTGTCGGAATTGGACCATCGGAAGATGGTGGGACAATGGTCGATCGTAGCATTGATATTGTTTCCCAAGCCAATGCAATAGAAAACCAGTTGGTCCCAGTTGCAAACCTATTACCTATGTTTGGGGCAGCTGATGCTAGAAATGATGAAGAAGCACAACATGAAAACCCAGTTCATGGAAACTATGAAACAACGCAGCAAGCGACCTCATTTACGCAGGCCAATGCTGCCATCATAAATGTAACTGGAGTCACTCAGGCCAATCCCGCGTTAGATAGTGACATTTACCGTTTTGTGGATGGTGGGGTGGGTAATGGTGCAACGGCAAATCAAGGAGTCACATTCGCTCGAGTGGCTTCACTGGCCGTTGGTTCAAACCATTTACCAATGCATATGCCCACTGCAGCTACTTGGGACAGTGCAACTGTACCTCAAACGAAGCAAGAAGATCTATGGGTTCAAGCTCCCGAAATGTCACACCCCATTCGAAATATTAAAAACAATCAGAATCAGATAAAAAGAGAAGTCAAAAACGAAGAAAAGCCGGCAGGTCAACCCCGGGTTCATGCACGATGTGCTTCTCGCTTTTCGCCTACGAGCGGTAGTGAAGATGAAAACATGCCAGATGTTGATACTCGTGTGGGTGGAGAAAGAATGGTGCCAAGAATGATGGATTTCAATTCAAATCGACGCCACAAGAAGAAAAAAACTGCAAGGAAAGCAGTGGCTCGACCAGCACATCGTTTGGAACCTGATAATGAAAGTGCTGGAGATTACGAGCAATGTTTGCAGGCACAACTGATAGCAAAAAGAATGAAGAGGCTCCATGGTTCCAATCGTGATGAAGACAATAACTCTTCGGACGAGAATTCGGACGGCTCGTACTACAATGCCATTCCTGACGACGCATTTTCTCCTGCCAATCCCAACGATGAGCATTCTACACACCAATTAGGAAAAAACGTTGAACCTGACATAGAAATGGGTGACATGGCTGGAGGCGAAGAAAACAAATTCGTTTTGCAGGATCTGCAGATACCTCAAGAGAACAATAATGGGGGTCTTCAGGAAGAGCGAACGTCGCAAGATGTCTCTTACATGAGCTCATTGGAAGATGCTAGGAGTATAGGTTCGCTAGAGGGGCCCGTCGAACCAATTCACAGACCAAAGTTTGCTCGAGGAAGAAGAAAACTGGAGGATGACGAATCAACCGACGCAGGCCAAGTTACGCCAAGTAGCGACGATAAATCTACAGACGAAAGCGATGACAACAGTCTTAGTGGCCTCAAAAGTGAAACAGAGTTTCAGGGTGGCGTGGATGAATTTCCCGATCTGAGAAGCAAAGAGAATCTTGATACTATTGCAAGTCAGCTTTATCCCATGGAAAAAATCGAGCATCTTTGTTCGTTGGGACTTAACAGCGAAACATCCCTACCAACATACAAATTCAGTGTCCACAGCAAAGATGAACGTAAGTACACGATTATTTTCTGGTTGGAAGATCCTGACTTTTCCTCGACCTTGACCTAACCTTTTTTTGCAAGGCATTATCTATGACTTTGATGTCCGAGTGGACAAGTCGAACATTCCAAACGCAGGGCGTGGTGTGTTCCTGAAATTCAAAGGTGCCAGAGAGCTGAAGCCTTCGAGAATAAGGAAGAAGCGCAAGCGTTCGACTCGTAAGCTACCCGATCCTCTACCGGCTCTTCGCCCAGACGGCTCTGACGTTACCGTAATGCTCAAAGGGGAAGAATTCCCTGTCCCGATCGGTTCCAAACGAATGTACACTGAATCAGACTTCGTTCCAGCTCCTCGACGAACCTTTTCATCTTTGCATCCAAATTGTGGGGCGATTGAGCTTGGTCAGTATGGACCTTTTCGTCCGGAAGGTGAGCACTCATGGCTTGACTTGTTCTAAAAGTGCCTGGTGCTTATTTTTTCGTTCTCCACATAGATTGCATATCCGAAGAAAAGTATGATATTCACAGCTTCCTGTTCTCAAAGATACCAAGCGAATGGGGTTTTGATGTGCCGGAGAAATTGGACGGCAAGTCACAGGTGATAAATATCACAGATGAGTTGACAGGGGATACGCACGAAATTGCTTGTCGACATATCCCAATGTATGTGAATGAAGTCGGCCATGACACAGCGTTGAAGCAGACCGTAAGTGCTCTGGACAAAGATGATAACAAAGTTTTCTATTACGTGGCCATTCGCGAACCAATGAAGCAAGGGGACACAATAGAGTTACTGGTTGCTTACGAAGGCTTGTACGAACAAGTCCGTGCAAGAAAGGGATACGCAAAGGCGAACATCCACAAAAATGTCAGGGGTGACGACCATTTTGGGAGCTTCTTGCAGAGGAACTTCTTCGACAGAGAATACATCTTAGAAGTCATCGATGAACTTAAACCTGACGATATAGGCAATATGATGAATTGGCTTCGTGTGACACAATTATCGCTTTCACTTATTGTGAGCGATTTCCTGAATCAAGCAAAACAAGAAGACGACGGGGAAAAGCTTACTAACATTCCGTTGGCGCAGCAGATTGTCGCCCTGAGGAGATTCGAATGGATTGCCAAACATTTACAGCCAAACCTCAAACGGCAAAGGAGACACTGCGGATCTAGCTGTAAATTGCTGGAAGGACTCAAGTGGTTAGAATGGAAGGATTTGATCGTAGCTTTGACCAGGCTCAAGAATATTGAGGATGCGAATAGAAAGAATTTGTACGCAGCCCTCGAGCGAGAAATTATAGACGAGTTATGCTACGAAAGGAATGGGCGGATAATCACATCACCGATGCAAGAGACATTTTGGTGTGGTCTTGCAATGGACTTGACAAGAGATCTATGTGTCGCAACAGCGAAAGAATTGTGGCAAACAGAGAGTGACAAGAAATCCTTGATGCAGACCTATACCAAACTTGCGAAAGATGCCGTACGAAATGTTCTTACAGGACAGCACACAGAAAGCTTAGCTTTTGTACCCAATTTCAATGGTGATTGCACTGGAGTTGCAGAGGATGAAATGCGAAAGTTGAACCCGATACGGTCACTTGCTATAGCGAATGAAGAGAGCTCTGGTGAAGTGCTTTCTGTTTTGACAAAGTCTGACACGATTACTCCGTTGGAGGACGCGAATAAGAAACTCGCCGCGATTCCAAGGGCATTGACACTTGACTCGAATGCAGGGGTCAATTCTTCATGGTACATTTGCTGGCAAGTTTTACGCGTGGTTGACTCGTTTGCTCGTAAGTATCTGAAGCGTTCTACATACTCTTTGGCTGATCTCATCGGTCAAATGGGTATTGGTGACGAGACAAGTGTGATTATGGAGGATGTTCTTACGAAATATGCTGAGAAGAGAGCAGCCAAGAAGCCAAAAGCGTCGTTTTCGAGTCCAGGCAAACCAAAAAAGAAGCGGAGAAAGAAGTCTGGTTCACCTGGTGGAGTTGCTGTTGCGAAAGCGGCTTTCTTTTGGCATGTTAGTTGGAAATGCTTGAAGGACAAGTGTGGGTGGAGGCTTGAACATGGAAATAGACCTGGAGATTTTTATGCTTTTCCACCGGGTGTTACGCGAAAAGGTGGCTTCAAAAATCGGGTGCACTTTTTCGATAGCGTAAAGCAGATCCGAGATCAGATCCAAGCAGATAAAAAATTGAAGGAAAACGCTCTTTTGAAAAATGCCCTAGCCGAGGAGGAGAAATGTGTAGCTCTCTACAGGAAGCTAAAAGGCACCAAATCTTTTCCAAGTTTTCAGTCGAACGAAAAAAGAATTGATTGGATTTATGAAGAAGTAAAGAAACAGAGGAAGGACTGACTTGACAATAGGAGTGCAACATGAAAGCAAAAGGATTTTGTTTCGCACGAATGGGACGAAAATGCGGGGATGCTGTGCAAGGATAGTCAAGTTTTTCTTCTATTAGTGTGGATCGGCTTCGCAAAGCAATCTAGGATGTGGCAACTCATTCTGACTCAGAATCAGTGTCCCAATCTTGTTCCCAATCTTCAATCTTTTGTACTGTTGGATCAAAAACCTTCGCTAGCCAGCTCATTTCATCATCTGCATCTTCAGAAGCATCAGAGATGGATGCTTCAGCGTTTTCTGTCACAATATTCTCGGTTTGGCCAATAGACTGCATGCTTTCAATGACAATGCCTTCCGTGTCCCACGATATTGGTTGCTCCTGATCCTTGGCAAAAGCTCCAGGCGTTTTCAAACCATTTTTTTCTGTAACAGTTGACATCTTTTGAGTGAGTTCAATTGAGCTAAATTTTAAATTCTAAATGGACCTAGTCCTAGATGGAAAGGTTCCGCTATAATTGTGACATGGTTCGAGATTGCAAACGGAGTATGATACGATATAGTATGGTAGTGGGATTGCAAAAGAAACGGTCTTGGAATCGTACGTACTACAGTATCAGTATTTTAATACCTGTACACCGGTATGTTTAAAATACCTTCCGAGTAGTGCAAGTCAGACGGTTTCATTCGTTCTGTTCGCGAGTTGGCAAGATTTCAAAATGCCGGGGGTCACTTTCCCCCGATATCCGGGGGAAAGATCGATACGAAGCATGGATCTTCTTAGATCGTGTTGATAGCAGCCTTATTATCATGAGAAACATTCTGCTTGCCGTTGCAGTTTTGGGATCTCGTTCTTCGAGCGCCTTTGTTTCTCCTTCTTCCTCTCGTTGTTTTCACACATCATCACTTGCCATGGCGAAGAGAGTTTTGGTTCCGGTCGCTGAAGGGTACGAAGAAGCCAAAAATATGATTGCAGATAACAAACCTTGACAACAAATCTCACTAAACAGTGTCTTTCTCGATTCGATTGTCAGTTCTGAGGAGATTGAAACCACTTGTATCACCGACACACTGACAAGGTGAGTTTGATACCCTTGATTCACGATTACTTGCTTTTCGCTTTTCATGTTCTCAACAGTCGCATTCTGCAAAGGTTTGGGGCGGAAGTTACCATTGCCAGTGTGATGCCTGGTGAACTTGTTTGCAAAATGAGTCGCGGAATCAAGGTGAGCTATAGACAATTTATTCGTAATCTCAATTTCCCCTTTTGAATGTTCTCAACAACAACAACAAATGAACTAAAATTTAAGGTTATGGCGGATGTCAACATTGACGAGGCAGCCAAGGAAGAGTGGGACCTGATTGTTCTGCCAGGAGGAATGCCAGGTACGAAAACTCTGTTGAGATGGCGCTAGCGATGACACATTTATTCTCATATACTTGCTTCATGAAAGGTGCTGAACATCTTCGAGATTCAGCGGCACTTATTGGACTCTTGGAAAAGCAAAAGAGTCAAAATAAGCCATACGCAGCTATCTGCGCCGCACCTGCCGTGGTCTTGGCTTCAAAAGGCCTTCTAGAAGGAGAGGGTGCCACATGTTATCCTGCTCCTGGTTTTAGGTACGATTAGACACCGACCACTTTTTGTCAATTGTATCGATGATTCTCACAGACTCGTACTCGTCACCCACCAAACAGATCAAAACTTACAAACCCCACTGATGATGAAGTTGCGTTCACAGTTGGAAAAGTTACTACATCTAAGGGACCTGGAACTGCTCTAAAGTTTGCATTGGAACTTGGAGAGCAGCTTTTTGGCAAAGAAGCGCGTGCCAAGATTCAAAGCGAGATGCTGGTTTGAACAAATTACGTTTGCAGCTAGTGTAGTAGGTTCTACTTTGCATTACAGCGCACTTTCATATTCAACATCTTGAATCATCCGTCGTCATCCTCTTCACTACTGTAACTAGTTCATGTAATACGAAACTAAACAAGTCCTGCCTGTGTGTCAATACGGCATTTTCGTAACCAAGAAATCAGAATTGGAAAAAAAATGTGATAGGAGTCTGATGACAGCTGTGGCAAAACGATTTTGTATTTGGATCATTGAGAAACTTTCAGTTAAGAGGTGAGTAATTAGCATGTTTCGACATTGCAGGGAGAATGATTAGATTTACAAACACTCCGACTGTACTATACAGCAAGAGTTGGTAACATTTAGGATTTTGTCAATTTTGGGCAAAAGGTTCTCTATTTTCGATTTCCTGAGGTTACCGGGCGATTGTGAATGACGATCCAAGTGTTTTGATAGGAAGAGTATGACTCCTTTTTTGGATGAAAATACCGTGGCTATGACGGTTGCCTTGGCACTCGACACTAACAAGCAGAATTTTGATGTCGTTGCAGCCGCAGCTCGCATGGGTATCAATTCACTTCCAGATTATGTATGGAGGACTAGCTCATTGACCTACGCAATTGGTCAGAAGATGAATGTTACATCTCTATTCTAGGAGTTACTGTATGGTTTGCGCCAGTGGCATATTGATCGCCGATCTTTCAATTTGGTAGCTACTTGACTCTGGTGACCCCCACCTCACACAGAGCATTCATTCATTCGATGTATCGATCGAGTGAGTAGTAGAGGACGTCCGGGATATGATACGATAACAAAGAGTGAGGATATGATATTAAAAACTGCGGCTAAAAACTGCGGAGGAAAACCCAATTCTTCAAGCAGTTGGTAGTGAGAAACGAATGTCGACATCAAGACGCAATCGCAAATGCTTGGTTGGGACCAGCTTTTGCGACTAAGTTTCCCTCTACAATAAGAGAAGAAATTGCGGTCTTGACATCTGCGTCTGGGAGGAATAGGGCTCATGCAGATTTGTTCACTGACAAGCCAATGCCACCCTTCCTCTCCACTTTTGGCCGCCCTTTTTCGTCGAGAACCACCGAATGGAAAGGCAGCAATGCTGACTAAAGATCATACTGTAGATTTGGAATTTTCCTGATTGGACGCCAAGAAGAACGAGATGGAGTAGGAACCCATCGCGTCTACTGGCTTGTTTTTGTACAGTAACGTCTCGGATGTTCGGTGGAGAATTCTTTGGATGTTGCGAGCGTGGAGACTTTTCCTCTCGAAGCAGTGCTAAACAAAGGATTTCCGCCTTCTCCGGTACTCGACCAAATGTACTTATACCAGTGGGACAGAGCAAAACTGGCTCTGTTTGGCTTCATATTTTCCAAAGATGAAAGTTGCGGGAAAGGCTGATCGATTACTGGATGAACTAAGCATCGACCCCCACACATTGGCACCTGAATGCGATACCTATTCAGTGTGCACGTAGGTCTATAGTTGTAATGGAGTAAGCTTGATCGAATGTCGTCCCAACGTCTAACTGTTGTCGATGTGAATATGCCCAATAATATGTTCACTACAAAAGAGAGCTGTTTTAAAAAATAGATTGATTGATAAGTTCGACTACTTTCCGATTCATTCCAACAAAGTGCATATTGAATCTTGTATTCTCATATCTCGCCATCGAGAAACACAACTCTGCCATAACACAAGAACTTTCAATAAATCATGGTCAGACTAGAGCTTTCAATTGAAGCAAGTAATCTAAAGAATGTTGCGGGAGCGTTCAAGGTACGGGGTATGAAAAACGGCTCTGCTTGCTTGGATTCATTCCTGTGTTCTTTTTGGAACCGGAGTCTGCACAAGCATGCAGTATCAATGGTCGTTTCAAGAATTGGAATTTGTCTGATTTGCATTTCTCACCTACTCGCTTTAACATCAGGGAACTTCAGATCCATTCGCAGTAGTTACCCAAGTTGCAACCACCGCTGACGAACGGCCGCATGTACTCGGAAAGACTGAAGTTGTAAAGAATAATCTGAACCCTCACTGGGCCAAAATTTTCACTTTTGACTACCAACTAGGGTCCCCAGCCAAACTTGCGATTAACATCTTCGATGAGGTTCGAAAATCAGAAAACAAATCAATGGGAAGTGCGGTTTTCGAAGTTGATACCCTTCTTGCTGCCCGTGGAGGGACCAAAACAAGAAGGGTTAGAAACGGTGGGACAGTTACTGCAGTGATTCGAAAAAGCCAAGGAGAAGGGGCGCTACGCTTCAAAATGTCTGGCGTAGACCTGAAGAACAAAGAAGGATTCCTGAGAAAATCTGATCCTTTCTTTGAGTTGGTCCGTAGAGATGATACAGCTGGCGGTGCTACATTCAACACTGTCTTTCGTTCGGAAGATGTAAAGGACAATCTTTCACCTGACTGGAAGCCCGCCAGCGTTGAAATCAGTCAGCTTTGCCGCGGAAATCTGGATTTATCATTCTACGTAAAGATTTATGATTTTGAATCGAACGGGAAGCACAAACTAATGGGTCAATTTGAAACAACAGTTAACGCGATGGTACAGGGAGCTGGAAACGCATCGATTCCTGTCACGCTGAAAGGCGAGGATGCCGGGACCGTCATCTTACACAAAGCGGAGCTGTCGCTACCTCAGTCGGAAAAGTCTTCGGAAGGAGGTATGGAGGAAAGAATGGCTCAGATGTCCATCTCTCCCTCTGCCATTCCAAAACCAGACGACAAGCCTACATTCGTTGATTACATTTCTGGGGGATGCCAGTTGAATGTCACTGTCGCAATTGATTTTACTGGTTCAAACGGTTCGTATTACTGAGGTCACCTCGAGACCGCTTTTTCAAAAGCACTTTGTTGGTTTATTGGATATTTTTGCTAACACTGCTTCTCTGAATTTCAAATGCTTTAGGGGATCCTCGTCAACCTGGAACGCTGCATTACTTACACCAAGACGGTCAGCTCAATGATTATGAAAAAGCCATTACATCGATCCTATCCATTTTGCAGAAATATGATAGCGACAAGAAGTTTCCTGTCTTGGGTTTTGGTGCAAAGTACAACGGCGAAGTCCGACATGCTTTCCAATGTGGTACGGCTACAGAAGTCATTGGTGTGAAAGGAGTACTGAGCGCCTATCGAGATGTGTTTGGTTCCGGTTTGATCATGTCCCGGCCCACTGTTTTCCATGAGGTCATGGAGTATGCTGCCAAACGTGCTGAGCAATCACTCAACGCGGCCTTGGCTTCCGGTGGTCAAACCTATTCCATTTTGCTCCTATTGACTGACGGATGTGTCAGCGATATTCCAGCAACCGCGGAATGTTTAAAAAAAATGGCCGACAAACCAATCTCCGTGGTTATGGTGGTAAGTGTAGAAGTATCGTCGTTTTTTGTTGCTCAGAAATGTAGCTGATATGATGATGGCTAATGTCGTGATACTCTCCCCCATGCTGCTGCCGGTAGGGTGTGGGATCGGACGATTTTTCGGGCATGGACTTTTTGGACAACTTGGGCGAGTCGGGAGTCCGGGATGTAGCACAATTTGTTCCGTTCAACGACTATTCGGAGTCTCCCTCGGATCTGTCCACTGTCACTCTGCACGAAGTTCCTCGCCAACTCACGACCTTTTTCCAAAACAGAGGTATCGAACCGCTCAGTCGACAGCTGGTCGACGAATCCAGTGTCGACGAAGAGGAAGAACCAGAGATTGACATCTCATTAGACTTGAGTTCTGATGAGGTAACTGTAGCTGGTGGTGGCTACCAGTGCAAGGGCTGGTAATTGCCTTTCACAAGGATTCCATTCCTCGTTGATATACCATTGTTGCAGTATACGATGTTGGGTGAAGTAACAATCGATTTGCTTCTGTAGATATTATTCATTATTATATTCATATCATTGAATGAAAATTGCTCTCGTCGTGCTTCTACAGTAGCTCTTGTGGTTCGAAAACTGAAGTGGTCTACTTTGGCATCATGCCGCAAGGCAGGTTTTGATAACGCACAGATTGCACGTATCATAAAAGAGTAAAAATGCAATCAAATCATTATGAGTATTGGATCTATTGTTATGCAATGGTGGTGGCAGTCTATTTGGAACAACAACTTGGCATGTATTTTCATGCCAGTCATGGCGCGCATTTTTTTGGAATGGATGGATGGTTGGATCATTCAATTCAATTGCGGATTAGGAGTGATACTGACGAAAGTGAACCGGGTGTATTCTTTCTCCTCGCGGAGACAGAAACATGGCTTCATCTTCACAGCATCGTCTCCAATCCCATCCTTCCGCAGCAAATTCGATCGTGTTTCGTCTAGCATTCTGTCTGATCTCGGCAGAGTTGGACCAGATTGTGCTCTTCAGTGCATCTGGGTAGTGGTCTCGAGAAGGAATGTATACCACTTGAACCTTGTTGTAGAAATGAATTCTATTCTTGAATGGCTTATCGAAATCGATGTGTCGTGGTGCTGGCAATTCTTCCTTCCGAGAAGAGCGTTGTTGGGTCTTCGTTGTGTATCGTAGTCGCTTAAGGATGGAAGCTCCTCGTCTCTTGGAGATAAGCTGCTTGTCAGCTTCCTTAAGGCAGGATTGTTTGAAGTCTCTTTTGTCTACGGCCATGATGGAAATGAAAATGGAAAATTGTGAGGATGAGTTTCAGCGATGGCATAATTGGGTGCGTCTGAACCATTGCAATTTAAATTCCTGAAGTCGTGCTTTCGGGTCATAAGAGCGCCCAAAACCATGCCGACTCTATTTTTGTAATCACTCGGAACTGTGAGTGCACAGACCACGACTCCTACTGGTACGGTTCGTGCTATGTGTACTGTGTTAGTCCTTTGTGTTAGAAGCATTCGACTCAACTCTGTCCTTGCCCCGTTTGAAGTTTTCGTTCCAACCAACGATCGATCAATGTTTTTCTCTGCAAATTTCCGAACATCTCCCATCAAACAAAACAATAACCGAGAATGAAGGTACGAAAGGCATTTCAGAAAAAGACTACGAAGCCCAAGTCTCCCGAACCAGAGGAGAGCAGTGACAGTGATGAACCTCAGGTAGAAAAGGTGGTGATCCATGTTCAATCATCATCAGAAGAAGAAGACAACGACGATGATCAATCTTCGAATGCTTCCTATGGAGTCAATGATTCATCTCTCGATTTAGGTGACAGCGATAACGAGATTGATAGTGTTGCATCTACCGATGCGCCACCCGAGAAGCAAAATACTTTTTCTGATGACAATGCCAAATGGCTCAAACCCAAGAAGGCAACAATTGACTTGCTTTCGTCTAGCGGGGACGAGGCAGAGAACGGAAAGGAGGAAAAGGGAGAAAACGACAACAGTGACGCTGAAAGTCAAGATGACGATGATGATGACGATGACGAAAGTGTTGAACTCGATGTCGAACGAAAATCTCGATTATTGGATGAGAGAATGCAAGAAGAAGAGGACGAAGCCGATGAAGAAATGAGAGATGCTGTTTCCAAACATACGTCTGTATACCATCTTCCCACAAGAGAAGAGCTAGATCGAGATGCGGACCGCGTTGTTCCTCCATCCGAGCTTCGGTCTCACGTCGACCAAATCCTCGAAGTATTGGCAGATTTCAAGGAACGTCGTGAGCCAGGTCGTACCAGAAGTGAATATGTTGATCAACTTGGTCTTTTCATTGCCGAGCTCTATGGATACCTTCCAGAACTGATTGAATACTTTTTGTCCATGTTCAGTCCTGCTGAATGCCTCGAGTTTGTGGATTACTCTGATAAACCAAGACCGATGGTCATCCGAACAAACACATTGAAAGCAAGAAGAAAGGATTTGGCCCTCGCTCTCATGAAAAGAGGTGTCACTCTTGATCCTCTTGCTCCTTGGTCCAAGGTCGGATTGAAGATTATTGAGAGTTCCGTTCCTATTGGCGCTACACCAGAGTACCTCAGTGGACATTACATGCTCCAAAGTGCGGCATCCATGTGCCCCGTAATGGCACTATCACCAGAACCCAAAGAAAGAGTCTTAGACATGTCCGCAGCCCCGGGTGGAAAAACTTCTTACATGGCACAATTAATGAAAAACACAGGAGTCATCTTTGCCAATGATTTGAGACCCGATCGTCAAAAGGCAACCGTCGCCAACATGCATCGTTTGGGTGTCAAGAATGTGATTGCTTGCACTCATGATGGCCGAAAAATGCCCAAACAGTTCAAGCACTACAAGTTTGACAGGATTTTGTTGGATGCACCTTGTTCCGGATTGGGTGTCATTAGTCGAGACCCCAGTTGTAAGGTTCAACGTACCATTGCCGATGTCAACAAGACTGCTCATCTTCAAAAGGAGTTACTGTTGGCGTCAATTGATATGCTCAACCACAAGAGCAAGACCGGAGGCGTGATGGTGTATTCCACATGCAGTGTCAGTGTGGCTGAAAACGAAGAGGTCGTCAACTACGCATTGCAAAAAAGAGACATCAAGATCATTGATACTGGATTGGATTTTGGTAGGTTTACACGATTGTTTGCTGTCTCGCTCCCCATTGATTACTTTGCTAACCCTTGATTTTGTCACCAACTTTAGGTTCTCCTGGCTTCACAAGATACCAGCAAAAGAGATTCCACCCATCGGTGGCCTTGACACGTCGATTCTACCCACATGTTCACAATATGGATGGTTTCTATGTCTGCAAGATTCAAAAGTTGAGCGACAAGATCCCAGGGGAAACGAAGAACGAGGAGCCTGTCGAAGAGAAGGAAGTAGTGGCAGCCAAGCCGGTCAAGATCAACAACGATAACAAAAGCAATAGAGCACCCAAGGCCAAGGGAGCTGGAAAAAAGAAAAGGGGCAAGGGAAAGAAAAGAGCTGCATCCGAGGAACCACGAGAACCAGCCAAGGACAACAAGATGTCGGTTCCACCGGCCATGCAACAGCAAAAGAAGAAGAAAAAGCCGAATGCTAAGATGTCAAAGCCTCGTCGAATGAGAGCCGATCACATCATGTAGACACAACATCTACAGGTAGAAATCTAGTCACAATATCTCGTTACCAATTAAAAATAGTCCTAGTCTATTTTTAACGAAAACAACAATAGATTCATGCAATAGTGGAATTCGATGAAGCAGCTATACACATATATGTTCATTCAGACTTTCAGACGTCCACAGAAGTTGTGGGTGGTGGGTAGAGTTCAGCGTAAATCTTGGTGGACATCAAGAGTGTTCCAAAGGCAGTGCATCCAATCAGGTACATCCAGACATAGAAAATGTCAACAGCCTTCAAGGGTTCAATGGCCAGCAAACCAATCGAGGCAGTGATGGAACCACATCCATTGATGAGTCCGGTGACAGTTCCGAGAGACTTGGTGGATCCCTTGACCGAAGGGTGGGATGCCAAATCGGCGGCGACAGCAGAAGTAATAATATTGTTGGGTCTGTGTGTGTGTGGGGGAAATAACAATGATTGTGAGTTACTTGGACTAAGGAATCAACAACGAACGGCAGCTAATGCCAAGCAACAACTTACCCTCCAACAAGGATTCCCATCAATCCAAGGAGTGGCAGAATGACAAATGGGCTAGGATCTTCCAAGTTGGCGTAGATAGCCATGACAACAATCAAGGAGCACATGAAGACTCCAATGACAGCTGCCCGGCGTCCACCAAAGAGATCGGAAACGTATCCGACAATGATGCCTCCGGGCATCATGCCGACCGAGTACAAAGCGGCGATAAGATTGGCAGTGGAAGAGGTAAAGTTCTCTTCCAAGATTTGAGGAAGGTTGAAAAACATGGTATAGTTGACCAACTTGAAGAATCCAAAAGCCAAGGCGTATTGAGCAACCATAGGAATCTTGAAAGCATCGAGGTAGGAAATGGGAGGTGGTCCAGACTCGTCGACGGTCTCACCAGATTCGAGAGCCGCCTTTTTCTTGATTTCCAACTTGGCCATGCGATCCTTAACTTCGGGGGTGACAATGCCACTTTCGTAAGGATCAGCAACAAGTCCCAAGGTCAAGAAACCCCATGCAACGTTACAGAGGGCAGGGACAAAAAGAACCCACCAGTAGGGAAGTCCTAGGATGAAAATCAATGGAGAAAAGACTTGGGCAGTGATATCGCCGACATACTGATGGCAAGTCCAGAATCCAAAAATGGTTCCTCGCTTTTTGATAGAGTCAGGATCACAAAACCAGTTTCCCATGACGGCAGTACCCACGGGTCCTCCGGTGGCTTGGAAGAAACCAAAAACGAAGTAGACTGCAACGATGAATAGGTTTCCGAACCCGGGACTGACTTGCACCAAGTTGAACCAAATGGCAATGTTCAAGAGCAACAGACAGGCTCCACTTCCGAAAAGTCCGATCGATAGAATGGTAGTGGGGTTGAAGGTATCACCGAGCTTTCCGTTGATAATGTTTCCAGCAGCATAAGTTCCCATGAAGACAGTGTCCATGGTGGCCATGACAATAGGGTCAAATCCACCAATATCAGGGTCCTTCAGCTTAGTCTTGATGGTGGAATAAGACTTTCGGGAAAAGTGGGCCATCAAGTAGCCTCCAAAGGTAACAAAGAAGGCCCATCTGCAAAAAGTCGGAAGAGAATGGAAAAAAAGGGTGAGAAGAATGCAATTTATCAAAAACGAGTCAATCTGTTCTTGGCAAAAGACTGATTAGTGGCTATTGTGCGCATCAAGCATGGTTCATGTCATGGAGAACATCCAAAGTATTTCCATCTTGATGACCAACTGAATCCTTGTAGCCATACTTCGCATCCATTTCCGCAACTGCTGCCGATCAAATTCTCACGGACAGAATGACTTTCGGACTTACGGTTGGTAAGCCTTCAAACGGCGAAACATCTCGAGATCTTCTTCCTTGCCCACGAGGGGCGTCGATTCACTTGGCATCTTGGATAGGGTAGAGAGTAAATGTGTGGATTTGTTGAAATACCAGCAAATGGGCTTCGTCGTCGGCGGTCGTTGGCTGTCGGCTGTCGTCGACAGGCGAAGAATTCAGAGGAGAAGCCAAAGATCCAATCTCCAATCAAGATTCGCTTTTCCAAATCCACCAATGAGAACTCATCCTCAATTCTTCTCCATACGAGCGACGGACGGATGGAAGGGTCAGCTTATTTCATATTGCTCATCTCTTGTCAATCGGGGGTGCTGGTTTGGGGGAAAGATCAAGTTTCGTCTGTCCCCATTCCGACGGCAACCATAACAATTAAATTGCATCATCGATCCCATCCATCATAACGAACATCAACCGTTCGCATTCATTCCGCACCTATTCCTTTGACTAGAGAGCAGTGTCTAGCTTCTCAAATCGAAGCGTGGTTCTTCAAACTGCGCAGCCGAAGGACAAAGGACAAAATCGCAATTTTGCTTCCGCCTAGCACGTTAAAAATACCATGGAAGCAGAACAGGTAACATTGCAAGGGATATCCGTCGAGATCCAACCAATATCTTTCGGAAAACTTGCCATGGCTCATTTACCATCCATATTGCTGCCAGCTGTTTTCTTTTGTATAATTTCCCTCGCTATCCTTTTTGCCTTGCTGCGACGCAAATACACTCAGCGGTTATTAGAGTCCTGTGGACTTCCCACTCTTCATTGGAGACCACGATTCGTCAATTACAAACCCTTTGAAGACGAACAAAAGCTGGCCTCTTCCAGCATTACGAGAATACTTCCTCGTATGCAACGACTGAAAGGCCCATATGGAATGTATGGGACGGTATATGGAATCTCGACGGCGGTGGTACACGTGGCTCATCCAGTTCCAACCAAGGCAATCTTTGGTATTAGTGCTGTCAGTACCAATAGCAGCAGCGACTCGAGCCGACCGTCCAACGCACCCAAAACGCGGCGGCGGTCTTCCGTGGTGAACAGCACAGGAGCCTCTAAGGCGCCAGCTTACAATCATTTCAAAAACTTCTGTGGCGAAGGCGTCTTTACAGCGGATGGAGATGACTGGAAAGCCAAAAGGGCCTCGGTTATGCACTGCCTCATCAAAGGAACCAACAGCTCACTTTCGGAAGCTTCAATACGGCTAGAGCAAGAGGCCAATCAATCTGCTGATGCGTTTTGTGCTCAAATCAAACAGCTACAGTTGGATCAACATAAGAAGAGGCCATCTACCGACATCGTTCCTTTGTTACAGAGAGCAACAGTGGGACTCATTTATAGATATATAACTCACGATGAGCCTAATTGGCAAAAAAGGGATGGGAAACAGCAAAAGAATGGACCTTCGTCCTTTTCCTCATCTTCGTCGCCGTCATATTCCGCAACCAGTATGAGTCAATTGCAGACATACATGGAGTCAATAATCCGCATTCGCATGATCATTTTGGCCCAGTCCCGATCGATATGGTTCTTACTACCACGTTGGTGCTATCGCTTGTTTTCTTCCCTCTACAAGGATGAAGAAGAGACGTTAGGACCCATTCGATCCTTTGCCGAAGAAGCCTGCCATAGAGCCAAACCTGGCTCTCCCTTGGCTAACCTGAGTCAACGCAGCAGTCACGGTGGTGTGCGTGCCAACAATAACACTGAAAGTGACGGTATCCACAAGGATCTGTTGGATGAAACAATCACGCTACTCTTTGCTGGGCAAGATACCAGCGCGGCAACCCTGTCGTGGACTCTTCATTTGCTCAGCCTCTATCCTGATATCCAAACCAAACTAGCGGAAGAGATCAAGACGATTTTCGAGGAAGATGCGATTTGCGCAGAGAAACCAACAGTTGGAAGAAAAACCATCGTCAAGTTGCACTATTTGGATGCCGTTCTGAAAGAGTCCATGCGGCTGTACCCTGTGGCACCCTTTGTAGTACGAAAGCTGACAGCTGAAGTTCCAGTGCCTGCGGATAATCCAAAGGAACCTTCTGTGACACTACCAGCTGGATCGATTGCTTGCATTTGGATATATGGGTTACATCACAACCCCAAGTTTTGGGACCGACCCAATGAGTTCCGTCCCGAACGTTGGCTTGATCCGCAACAAAAGGATCCCGGTCAGACCAATGGTGCCTACATGCCATTTGCTTCTGGTCCGCGAAACTGTGTTGGCCAACCATTGGCTTATATCGTTTTGAGAACGCTACTGAGTCGGATCATATCCGAGTACGAATTTAGAGACGAGAAACAGCGGAGAGGGGAAGATCCTGGTGTGTTAAGGAAAGACATGCAAGCTGGGTTTACTGTGTTGCCAAATGGAGGTGTTACCTTGACAATTCACAAAAGACAGCAATTATAACTTTTTAAGATCGAGTCGATCGTGTCGTTTGACCAGTTGTCAACGTCTGTTCCACGTGTATGAATTACGATTTTTGAATTTCGTGGTTGCTATAGACCTCTACTATGTGTTCTACGTAATCCTACGCAGAACAGAGCCATCACAGAAATCGTTAGGATGTCAGATATCGAAAACACTTTGGAAACTATTCGTTTTCTGGAATTGTCAACTTAACAAAGCAACAATGGGAAAGAAACCTAAGTCCTCGAGAGGAGCTAGAAAAGCTAAAGACCGCAAGCTCGACAAATCTACTTTACCTCCACCTCCAAAAGCTCTTGATGACGAGGTAAGGCATCAAGGCTATCATCGAATAGCAGCAACGCGATAATTTGACCAGTAATGATCGTGGAGCTAACCTTGTTTCGTTTCATTTGCATAAATTTTAATGTTATGTGTCGTAGGTTGGTTCTGCGAAGCTTTTGGATGAGCCTTCGTTGCCTGGAAGTGGTTACAAAGCCCTAGACCGTGAGGGATATGATGATGGTGGTGTTGCCGATCTTACACTGGTGATTGATTTGGAGGATAGTGTCCTCAGACGCAAGCGTGGAGAGAACGAGTACTTCACAGCTCTGAAAGCCGATCTTCTTCCGCGTGTTACTAAAGGACCTCTTGCCCAAATGAGCCGTCGGGAACAAAAAATCAAACTTGCAAAGCTTCTATTCTCAGAAGAAGAACATGAAGAGGATAAGAACCCATCTGAAGTGTGGATGGACACTGTTGACGGAAACGAGGATGCTCAAACGAAGAAGCATCGTGTGGAGCGCCTGTCTTCTGCTCGCATGGCACTCAGTCTTTCCAGTGTCTTGAGAGAACCAGCTTGCGCCAGTTTGAGTCTTTCTGAGATCTCGAAGCGCAGATTAGCCTTGTATGGCAAAGATGGAGCCATCGATGCTCTAAGATGTGCCGATAAGGCCATCGAGATTGCTGGAGCTGGATTCTGGGATCGCGATGAAATCGAAGTTGAAGTGAGTCTTGATTTGACTGTGTTTTTGTTTTTGTTGTTGTTGGAGGATCTAATGTCTCGTTGGTTCTTTATTTAGGCCGAGGATATCCCCAAAATTGATCCAAAGCACGAGAAAAATGCAACTGCTCCTGGACTTGCCAACGAGGCTACTTTGAAGCTCTTGCCAGTTCGGGTTTCTCACCTTTGCTTGCGATCTGCATACCTACATCGAGGAAATGCACTAGCTGCCCTTGGCCGAGAAGAGGAGGCTAAGGAATCCTACAATCAAGTTTTCCCAATGCTCAACGATGAACCCCGCTGTGGACGCTTGGATTGGGAGAGGAGTTCGTTGTACATCAACATTGGAAACACATTCAGCAGAAAGGGTAGCTTCGATGCTGCCAAGAAGAACTACGATATTGCCGAACAACTTGGGCGCGATCACATCAAGGCTGAGGCCGGGAACAGAGTTGATGGTATGGGCATGGTCATTGTTGCGATGCGTGCTAGAGCATTTGCTTTGAAGAAAGCGGGAAAGGAGGCTGAAGGAAAGGAAGTTATGCGAGATGTTATCAAAATGCAGATTGAACTCAACGCCGAAAACGAGAAGAAGAAGGCAGAAGAAGAAGCCACCGCTGCCTCGGAGGCAGACAAGAATGTCGCCGCTGGAACCCAACCAGTTTCCGTTTCTTCGTAATACTACGTTTTAGAGGGGAAGGAAATAAGGTTGCAGCATGGATAGATTCTACACTTTAAGTAATGACCTAGTTTGATCTCTCCATATCATTCTTAGAAGCTGGTTTGTTTGCTGAGTGTAAGCGAGGTTGGTAGGTATCTAACAGACGGCATTGCGTTTGTGCGACATAATCTGAGATGTTTGGAGAAGGGAGAAATGGAAACTTGCACACAAAATCCAAAATGTAATGCTGCAAATTACGCAAGAATCATGCAGCAAAAGTCGACACAAACATCGCGATTGGTAGACAATCTCCTGACTGGGGATCGAGCAGAACTCGAAGGAATTAGTTGCAACGATCCAAGTGGGCTATGTCTTCTATCCAAGGGAACCATGACGAGTGCCAACAATAGTGGCATATACACAACACTCGTGCGACTTGCAGCCCAACTTCAGACACAACAAGGAAATGTCGAGGTTCCGCTGATATCAATTGAAACCAAATCATACAGCATTATGGTTAAGGAATATGATGGACACGCTGTTGCGATGAAAGTACCAAGAACAGCGGCAAACGACGAGACAGACGAGTAAGGATCTTTGCAGCTACTTTACAGGTCGATATACACACTTTAAATTACGAGTCGATTCTTTAGTCAAAAAAAAATTTTGCAATATAATATCGAATGAACAGCCCAAACCCACAACTGGCCATCTGGAAAAGTAGCAATAGTGTACATAGATTTTTTTCACTCATAGGGCCGAAAATAGAAAGGCACATGTTGATGACTGTCATGTTGGGTATATTTTCAGTTTTTGGATCCAAGCGATTCAGTCTCTTCAGCCATAGATGTTCGCCAGGTTTGCATTCAAACGTTGACGGTTGCATCAGTCCCGCCTCGGGGTTGAATTTTGGCAATCGATGTCTTGGACATGGAACAATCTTAAAGAGTTGCGGTATTGACCAAAGGAAGTTGATCACCTGAGGCACAAAGAATAGTAAAAGAGTTTTGCTAAAATGCCCGAGAATCCCGACCACTGCAAACGTCATTCCGGCAAAGTAGCAGAATGTATCCCCAACAAAAACACTTGCTGGAAACCAGTTGTGGCGAAGGAGTGCCAAAGTCACGCCCACAAAGCTGAGCATTATCATTGCTGAAAACAAATGATTTTCTTGACTCAATGATTGCGCCTTTATCTCCAGCAGGTTATGCAACAAAACTGCGCACCCAATAACGTAAGATTGTCCAGCCTCTAGACCGTTGATTCCAGCGTATATGTTGATTGCATTCGTGCAAAACACCGCAAGCAGTCCCATGTACAAAAGATAAAACAACCCAAGATCGACCAGAGTTCCATTTGCACTGAGATCAACATCAATGATGAAAGATACAAGCTTTCCAAGCAAAGTCAGTTCATAGTCCTCGACAATCCATGATCTCATTGGAATGGGAACAACAATTGAAGTGCTTCCGTTATAGCAGCAAAGAAGGGGTAATGATGCAACGCTCGGAAGAAAAAGTTTATACCGCCATGGCCACTCGAGGACATCGTCTGTGAATCCAAGGAAAAGCATGAAACAAACCGACAATAAAGCCGAGTTTAGGTCAAGCAGTTTTGCTGGGTAACTTGTAGCATATCCGACAGTACAAAACATCAAGCAAACAAGGAAAATTGTTCCTGGAGCAATTCCCAGGGCTTCAGGGATAGATTTCTCTGCGAGCGCGGTCCCACGTTTTCCAAGATCCTTCCCACAAATACCTCTCCTAAGAGTGTATTGCTATACAAATGATAAAAGAAACAATTGTTCGCGTATTTCCAATCAATGCATTAGATTCAAGAAACGCGCCGGACAACCACCGCAAAGAAAAGAAATGCCTCACCTTTATGTTTGGAATGAGTTTGTCTGTAGCAACATAACCGAGTAGTCCAACAACGACATATGCAAGCAGTTGCGAGCCAACAGGTGGTCCAGTCACTGTTGAATCAGCTGCTGATTCGCGAAAGAGATGGAACCAACGTTTGACAACATCTAGAGGGCTATCAACCAAGATTGTAAGATAATAGAGCGGAAAGAGAAGTGGAATCAATGCAAGGATATGGTTTGAAAGACTCATGTTCATGTCATTTGATGGAAGACGATAATTGTTCGGAAAAGTATGGTGAATCAATTTTGATAAGGGGGGAGAAACGGAATTGTGAGGGGGCGAGGAGAGTACTGTACTCCGTACTATATCGTATTGTGTAGTATCATACAGTAGGTTCCGCTCGCTCTGTACCACTTTGATTGATACATCGATAATATGTACACTACAATTCCCGTGAAGCTGATGAGCAAATCATGAAGTCAAAAAAGTAGTCTCCTATCAGCTATTGAATATCAGAAGAGACGGTAAAATGATCAATCTGGATTAGGCGGAATAAAGAGAGAGCAACCAGGTTAGTGAAACTGTCGTGTTAATCTTTCTTGAGATTTGGAACTGATTCTACCTTCAGAAATGGGTAAGAAACCAGTCCACAAATGATTGATTCAGAAATCAGGTAAACGGTTGTTTCTATCTTCACGAGGCACCAGGAACATGAAACTCATTGCTGACATGTAAAACCATCTACCCACCTGTTTGCAACAGTCTTCACCGTCTCCTCCCTTCAGCAGCTGCGGCAAGATCACTACCGAGCCCTAGGCCAGCCCAAATGTCATTTCCATTATTCTCATACTGCAAAAATGACTCCTTCTTACTTGCGGTACTTCGAGCGACGGCTCGAAGTGCTGCAAGGTTAAAGCCGATCACATCGCGAGACTCAGCTAGACGAAGGCGTACTAGCTTCGAAAGCTCGCGAATTGGTACACTCATTCCTCGATTGGTCAAGATCTATTGCACAGCGCAAACGATGTGAGTGATTTAGACTGCTACTTCTCGGATATTTGGACGCAGCAACTGTCAACATACCTGATTTTGATGCGTTTTCACAAGGAAAATGCCAACACGAGAGCATATTTCGACACCACGGCCTCTTCTGAGAAGAATGATCAAGTAGTACAAAAGTCTTTCAACATGTGAAAGGGGGAGAACAAGCAAACTTTGCTCGAGTTCCGCCTGCCTTATCGTCTTCAGAACCCAAAGCATGTATAGTGGCGGCTCTTTCCCAAGTAGAAGCGGGTTTGGCATGCGTGTCTTGCCTGGATTGCTACGGCGGAAGGCTGCGCTTTCTTTTGTTTCCTGATCTGCTCTTTCTAGCGCTTCCATGATTCTATCTCCTGCAGCTACACTAAGGACACTCTTTCTCACCGCCGCTTCACTCTGGGGTTCGTCTCCCATGCCTTCGTTTTTGTCGGCATCACCTTCCCTTTGCTTGAGTAACTTTGCCGTGTCCTGCTCATCTTGATCAACACGGTCAAAGATTTGTTCAAGTTCGCGTTCTCTTTCCTCTTCCAAAAACACAATATCCTTTGTTCGTTCCCATACCCTAACTTGACGATCCATTCCACCAGTCAAGATGAATGCGCCAGTTCTACTGATCGCAAGACAGCTAACTTCTGCGAAATGCCCATTCAAGACAAGGATTTGCTCAAATCGATCTCCATCCCAATATCTGACAGTTCCATCTTTGCTCGTTGTGAAAAAGTTGTGCGATCGTTTGACAAATCGAAGATCAGTTACAGACTCCTCGTGTCCATGTAGTGTTCGATGAGTGTCTCCAAAATCAAGCCCCCAGATCTTCACTGTCTTATCGGCACCAGAAGAAGCCAGAATGGAATCGTCATCAGCCGCATCAAGAGCCAAAGCCGGAAGCTTATGTCCGTACAAACTCAAGAAGAACTTGAGCGTATCTTCGAAGAAGACTTTGATTGTAGAATCAAGTGACGAAACGAAAACCATGCGCTTCGAAGGATCGGTAGAGTGGGAGTAGCGAACTGCAACCACGTCATCAGTCATCTCAAGTGTGCGTGTTTGCGTCAACATAGGTGTGTCCGAGTCTTGCTCCGCTTCTATCTCCCAGAACTTCACTGTCTTGTCAGCAGAACCTGTCACCAACGCAATCGCGGGCTGCTTCGCTGTTGGTCGACGGATGTCGATGCTCCAAATTGCTCCATCATGTGCATTTTCTTCGTAGTCAACAACCTCCCCAGCTGCAATATCGAGCAGAAGAAGGTGTCCCTCCCTTGTTCCAAGAACAAGATGGGTGTTTCCTGGAAGAAAAGTTGCACAGAGTCCATAACAAGGCTTATCGTCAATCGACGGAGTAAGGGATTGAGTGCACGATCTTTTCGCGACATTCCAAATCTTGGTGCTTGTCTTTGACACTGTACAGGCAAGTGAGTCGTCTGACGAAATCTGGATTCCGCGAATTCCAGTTGGATGTCCCAATTGGTTCATGGTTGACACTTTGTTGGCGTGAACAGTAGCCTCTTTTCCTTCACTGAAGTAGTCATGAGATGAACTCTAACTGATATGGGACCTGACACACACATACACTTACGTTGCGGCTTTTCGAATGAGGACGTGCACTTCCAGAGCGTTTGTCGATAAGGAACATACGACCCTGACACCTCCGCCTTGCTCCTTGTAGGGCACAAATATGAATGATTTTACCTTGTGGGTGGCTCTTACTGTTCCGAAATATTCGAACTCATCTGATGCCTTGATTTGCTCAGGGGAAAGTTCTCGGTCAAGGGAAGCTTTCTCTGCTACTTCTGATTTCTCGTCTTCTGATTCTGGATCATCTAACATTCCACGCTTCTGGCCCTTGGATCCTTGATCAACCTTGTTCTCACTTTGTTTCGACTTTTCTTTTCGACGCCTCAAACGCCTTTGTTTCTTTTTGAAAGATTCTTGGACTGTGCGAATCAAATATACGTCAACATCTTTTGAATTGGCGTGAAGTACCCCAACGTACTTCCCATTGGGATGGAAATGAATACATGCAATCCGTTCTGCCGAGCTTGAGACATTAGGTGGCGGAGAAAGGGTTCCCATGTAATGGCAAACATCATCTACGCTTTCCAAGTTCTCAGCTTCCAAATACTTCATAGCGGTGTCTCCATCTTTTTCGATCTTCTCGTCACTGTATCGCTTGGGAGTCTTCACAGCCCATACTCTAGCCTGCCCATCACTACTCCCCGTGATCAGTCTTATTCTGTCGTCATCCGTGGCGTCGATACCCCCTGCTGATAGTGGGTTCGAACCTGGAATGAGCTGAAGAGCAGCGCCCCATACCTCGCCCCTATGGATAGGAATGGTTTGGATGCAGCATTGGCCATTCAGATCCCAAACCTTCACAAGACCGTCCAAACTTGACGTTATCAACATATCCAAAGAAGAGGGTTCGATTTTGGCAAAGTTCATATCAGTGATACCACCTTTGTGACCCAGTAAGCGGTAGAGACCAGATTCGGCAATTACATCCCACAAAACTACAGCACCATCACTTGAACCAGATGCTAGGCGACTGGCGTCCTTTGTATCGAATGCTATTGATCGAACAGGAGATCCAGAATGACCATTGAGAACCAGAGGCTCTCTCATGACGAAATCATCTTGACCATAGGATTCCTGCAATAGACTTTGCACTAGCCCGGGGCCCCTATCTGATTGCATTTCTTCTGTTGTGACATCGAATACCCGAACAGCCCCATCGACCCAGCCGGTAGCCACTTTACAACTCTCATGGTGATCTTGAATGGAAACATCCAAACAAACAATTAAATCACTGTTCAAGGCTCGTCCTGTTCCTACCCCACCAGTTAGCTCTTCTCTGTGACCAATCTTGATGGTAGCTTCTGTTGTCCGTAGATGAAATCCCATACACAGGCTCCCAGCAGTTGTGAGTAGAATCGGTCTCTGTCTGGAATCCGACCCAAACGCTAGAATGGAGTTCGACTGTGGTGCTTTGGAAGAAGCTGAAGAACTGATCAATCCAAAAGAATCGGCACATTCATAACGAAGATAGGTGTGTTGCATAATTCCGATTGTGTGTGGAAACTGTTGGTCTGTTATAGTGATGGCCCAAACGGACGCAGGACAAACTAACCGCCCAACTTTCGTGCCAATCGTGATCTGAAATCATCAAGCAATCATGAATGACCACATTCAACACATCACAATACCTATATAAGCAATCTAACGCACTTTCGGAGGATGATCGGTAGAGTACAAAGATGTTTCCTAGCGCTGGTTGCTGCTACCATTATTCTTGGGGTATCTGCAATCAGCCCGTTCCCATATTCTCTTGGAGTCCGCGACTCCTTAATGATAGCGCATAGTTTTCATAGCCACCCAAAATTTGGCCCTGCTGGTGGCATGCATGGAGCAACATACACCTGTGATGTAGAGTTCTTAACCGACAAGCTCCATCCTGAAACGAACTGGGTCATTGATATTGGAAAGGCTTCAGATATTGTCTCCGATGTGTTGAAGAAGTATAATTTGAAGAATCTGGATGAAATCTTTGGAGATAATGTGATGACAACCACAGAATTCATGTCGCGAAAGATACATGATGATATCAAGAGTAGACTGAAAGACGACTGCCGTGACTTCGATGGTGTGATTTGCGTTAAACTTTATGAATCCCATAAAGCTTGGGCAACCTATACTGGCCCTCGCTGATGTGAAATATGATTTTGCAAAGTAGGATGAAGTAGGTTCTACATTTGAGCTAGAGTTACGTGCTATAATCTTCTACATTTCGACGTTGTTTGGATTTGTTCAATTTGACGTGCAATCTCAATGATACATCGCATTTGAATAGTTCTTTCAAATCATTTTCTGCAGTACTTTGGATCCTATGAAGCGACGAAAGCACTAGCTTTTGATGGCTCTTGGTGAACACCACTAAATCCTGGTGGATTATCACCCCATCGTCCACTCTACGAAATAAACGGTTTACCTGGTGCACATTGTGCGGCACTGATCGTAGCACGGCATGGTGAGTGCAAAGGCATCCGTAACCAAGGTATCGGGGACATAGACAATGCACTTACGCTCTCTATGTAGAATTCGATAAATTTTCTCTCTGATCAACTCTTGCACTTGCTCAGGTGTTGTCATGTTTGTGCTCTTGCCAGGTTCCACAGGCCACGAAGTGCATGGACTAGCTTTTTCCAACAAAAACTCCAATAAATCATCGACACCTTCCTCCTCCAAAGCAGAAACGTAGAAAACCACAGGCGCTATATTGAGCAGTTGCTCAAACTCCATGCCATTTGCCTCTTTGCCCTTTGTCACGTGATCTGCCAGGCAAGCATCTGCAACTTCTCCAATTTCCATCGCCAGGTCTATGAGTTGATTCTTGGGGTCCACCAAATCCACTGTAGAGGAGTTGTAAAAGGCAACATAAGCGACAAAACTCATTATTGAAAAACATATCTTGTCATAATGCATTCACCTTTGTTCAAAACTATCGCAAATTTTGAAGTTTCTCTTGCGTCAACACTCGATTTCTTTCTATTTTCATTCACCGTTTCAGATTCTTCGTCGTCGCTGTCTTCTTCGATCCGTCCTTTCGAGTTGATTGCGCCAATCATTAGCTGGACTAGAGCATGTCTATAATTATCGGTAAGCGTCCGTGCCGAGTCGACGACCAGTAAACAGAAGTCAACGTACTGCATTTCTGCTGCCGCTGTAATTATTAGATCTCTGTCCAGTCGCTCTTCCTTGGCGTTTTCCAGTCTCAAAAATCCTGGTGTATCTTTGAAAACAATTTGCGTGTTACCCACTGTGCGAGCACCCAAGACATCAGTTCTTGTTGTATGTCGTTTTCTCGAGACTGCAGCAACTTTGGTTTGAGTGAGCACATTGAGAAGCTGAGACTTGCCCGCATTCGGTGCTCCAACTATCGCAACATCTAATCTTTTCCGCACATTGCTTGCGTCTAACGTAGAAAGCGATTGTTGGAGACTTCTTGCAACCAGTGGGTTGCGTAGCTTTGCAACAGACGACCGAATTGAAAACATTTTGAATTTGAGTTGATGGATGGAATTCGAATGGGTCTGTTTTTAGAACTGACTTAGTACCAAAAGCCACGTACGTCCTGCATACGGTATAGTCCATAGAAACAGATGTTCAATGTGTGACAACTGGAAGAACACATCAATCAAAATTGATGATTCAGTCACAAAATCATCATCATCACCACCATCAACGACCGAGAATCTCCTTCGCTGGCATACTTTTAAACCATGAGAATTTCCTTCACTGTCACAGTATTTGCTCTTCTAAACGGATGCGCCGTTCAAGGCTTTACGACGGCGCCAAGGAGATCCTCCTCGTCTCGCACCGTTTCGTCGTTGTCGTCAGCTCCTAGCGAAGAAGATCAAGCCAAACGCATGCAAGAAATACTAGCCGAAGAGGCCAACAATAAAACAAACATGAAGGCAGCAGCTCAAGCAATGAAGAACATCAAGCCAGAGGATATGAACCGAATGCTTGAGGAAATGGAAAACATGAATCCCCTGCAACAGGGTGCTCTGAAGGCAATGGGAATGGATCCAGCAATGATGAAGAAGACCATGGAAATGATGAGAGACAACCCAAAAATGGTTGAGTCAGCTCAGAAGCTTATGGAAAACATGTCACCCGCTGAACTCTTGGAGCAAAGCCAGGCTGCCCAAAAGCGAATGGCTAATATGACCCCTGAAGCTTTGGAAGAAACTAGTAAAGCTATCGGTGAGATCCCCCAGGAACAGCTGGATCAAGCAGTTGGGATAATGAAGGAACAGCAAGTACTAAAATCTGAAGAGACAGCTGTTCCGTCAGTCGGACCAACATCGGATGATAACGAAGTTATTGACAGCATGTTCAAGGTGGCCGAGCTAATGTCGGAACCAGCTACAGGTGGATGTACCTTCGCTGGATTTGCTTCGTTGCCTGTGATCCAAATGCTTTCTGGTGACCGTGAATTTGATCTCTCACCAAAGGAACTTCGAGAATGCTGGGCGGACGGTGCATTGGGTGCATCTCGAGTTGATCGCGAAGGTTTTGAACGAGTATGGAAGGAAGTCCAAGACTACTTTGAAGATGACATTATGGGAGAAGCACGAAAAGAGGCCAAGAAGAGAGTCCAAAAGAAAGCTCGACCAACTGAGGCAAGCTCCGCGTCCGCCCCCACTCCCACAACTACTATTGGCGAAGGCTTGAACCCGGACCAAATTAAGGGCATCAATGAGAAAGTGAAGAACCTGTCGGATAATGAAGTAGATGCCGTCCTTGACCAAATGGACAAGATGGGACCAGCTGAAGAAGCCCGTATGAAGGCCATGGGCGTGGATCCATCGATCATGAAGAAAACAGCGGAAATGATGAAGAGTAATCCGATGATGCGCAAGGCAGCTCAAGAAATGATGAAGAACATGTCGCCAGAGCAAATGCTTGAAGCAAGTAAGCAAGCCCAACAGCAAATGCAAGGAATGTCAAAAGAAGACATTGAAAAGGCGATGGATCTAAACAGAAAAAAATAGTCATATTTCAACTAGGAAGATCTTTTGGATTTGTGTCGTATCATGCACGAAGCTGAAACTGCGTTTGCTTCTACATACTTGGCAGAATCAATCAGTCGGAATACTCGAAGACTGCAACCGAAGACTCTTTGATGTCATCACTGTCATCTGAATCAGATGACAGCTCGCCCAATCTGAGGGAGGTTACACCTTCGTCATCTGTCCATTCCAATTCATCGTTCACTGTTGGTTTACCGGTCCCAGTACGAGAAAATAGGTTGCGGTCAACTGTACAAGGAATGGACTTCATTTCGCGACGCCTCTGCAATCCTGAAGTGTCAAGTTCCTCCAATTCGGATTCGCACTGTTTCGACGAAACTCTCTTTTGCTTTTTTTGCGACGACAAGCTTGCTCTCGTTCCCAAAGTTGCAGTAACCACTTGTGCCGCGTTGAGGGCAGCTTCTGAAGATCCGACTCCAGAGTTATCGTTCCATTTGTCTTCCAAGTTCACCTCGATGTTTTCGTTTCTCGTCTCGCTTGGAACGGAACTGTCTTCCTCAGACTGATGTTCAATGGGGCGGTGTCTTGCTTGGAACGCGCTGGTATATACTGGATTATACCCCACATTTGAATCCGAGTAGGCAATGGAACCCAAGATTTGCTCCATGGATTCAAAAAAAGGATTCTTTGCGTTTGCATCAATTGTGGAAACCACATCGAATGCCCCCGCCTCTTCAATGAAGTGATCTGAGGTGGCCAAGCGCATTAGTATCCCTGTCGAGGGAGGAATGGTCGAACGAAGCAGCAATGGAATCTCTTCGGCCATGAGAACAAAAATGTGCTGATGGGAGGATTGAAACAGCCCTCCAGTGTTGGTTGCGGATGGTAAGGATGACGTAATGATTAGTGCTTGTTCTTTTTGCGACAGGTGATGGAAGAGGGTTTGTACCATTTGGACCATGGCTTGGTGAGATTCCATATCCGCTTGGAGACCAGAACGAACTCGAATGGGAACACCATAAAGTAGTGAGGCATCGATGGACTCAATCGGTACCATTTTTGTCACCTCCAGCTTCGATTGCGCCAACAGCTTCAAATCGTTTTGCAATCCCACCATCAAGCTGGAATCGAGTGCAAAAGGAATGGTTTTGTATGTGCCATCCAATACCAGTGCCTTGTGAATTGAAGTGTCGCTCGTGTCTGGGAGATTCAGTGGCAATCGTTGGGGACCTGGAACTTCATCGCGAGACCACTTGCGTAGCATGGACATCATTCCCAAGATGGAATTTTCCACTGTGAAGACGGACATTTCAATGGAGGGAATGTGTTGAGTGACATCAAACTGAATGTTGCTGCGATTGGCTCGAAACTCTGCCTCCTCCTTTTCGCGGAGTTGCTGATTGAGTGAGGCAATGCATTCTGCCACTACAGTCTGTCGAGGGGGTGGTGCATTTACTTGTTCCTCTTCTGTTTCTCGCTCCCCGTCACTTCTCTTCTCGGCATCATCTTCAGTGGTCACATTGTCAGAAAATTCATCGTCATTTGTATTAATGATTTGAGCATTGGTCCACAAGACCACAATTTCGATACTGTTCAGTCTGTGTTCGAGAAAGAATGGTTTACATCGTTCCCAAAAGGCATTCAAACCATCTGCATGGTTGGCTGTGCCAGTGTGGGACAAGAACGAGACGTCATTGGTGAGCAATGTCAAATTGTGGCAAGGAGGTGATTCTTGAAAGATGGGACTCTGCATTGCCGAAACCACTATTTGACAACATGGATGAAACCAATCATTAATTTGAACAAAATAACGATACGAAATTAGATATTTCTCCAAGGGTAGACAGAGCAGTATTGCTATTCCGTTGCTATTCCACGTACCGTAGTCTCCGAAGAGCTTCCAAGATGCTTTGGCCGACAAGAGTTTTGGCAAGTGAAAGACCATTCCATCGTTGTTGACCGTCTCATGATTTTCTGGACCTGTTGCTTGGAGTGATTGCGTTGGAATATACAACGGTTTCAAATCCGCATTGCTGGGAGAGGAAGAGTGGACTCGAATACTGGACACGCCCTTTTGCGTCTGTTGCAATTCAGAAATGGAAAGGACACTGGGAGCCACTCCACGGTGTGCTGTCATTTGAAGGAGAGACTGTACATTTTGAATAATATTACTTGAGAGGTCGTTGTCGCGTAGGACTTCCATGAACCGAGTATCTACCGCCAACGCTGTTGGGCGACGTCTATTTCCACTTTGCGCAACATTGATGTTCGACGCACATGGCCTCTTTGACGAGGTCTTTTGTGACTTGTGCCCATCTGTTGATTTTGGAAGCTTAGGAACCGTCGCTTCTAGCTGATTGCAGAAGTCGAGCAAATCTTCGCCCACGAGTTGTTCTTGGTTGGTCTTGGTTGGAGCTTTGTTAGCTTTCGTTTTTCTAGATGACGAAGGACTGTTGTTTCGACGACGACGTGGGCGTGACCGCTTTACAATGCGTCTTCCTTTGGAAGTCCGGCGTGGCTCGTAAATCAGTGTCATGTTGCTTCAAGTTGGTTCTCCGTGCCAATACTTTTGGACGTTTGTGATACTGCAAGATCTTTCTTTTGCGAGCTGCTGGTATGAAGTTCTACTCGTAGCATTATTGGCGCGGAATGAATCGGAACAAAAACCGGGTTATGATCGACTCCTTTGACCTCCAAGTCGATTTAGCACAACCAATAAATATAAGCGAAGCCAACAAGATCCAAAAGCCCAATTATCCAAACAATAGAGTACAGTCAGTGGTACCTGATAACCGTACCTGATACAACAAAGCAAGAAACTCGAATGTTTGGATCGTTGCTACGGTGTTCTAGCTCCAAGCGAATGGCTGGTATGGCAGTAGTGACAATGGCTTCACAGAGTTTGCCGTACAGAACGACGCATGCAGAAGCTTCGGAAGAGACGAATGACGACAATGACGTTCCACACTTCAGACTGGAACGGAACAAAGATAAAACTTTGTTTCATAACCAGTGTTTGGAACGGCAAATGTACAAACCAAAACTTCCTTATCCGGCTTGGGATTACAACTGGGATGGAAAGGCAGTTGCCGGCGCAACGGACTTTGAAGGCCATCGCTCTGGCAAAGCATGCAAGCAAAAGGGCAAGACCCGACACATCATTTTGGTAAGACACGGACAGTATGAAGAGACCTTTCCTGAAGACGAAAACCGCAAGCTGACTGCTTTGGGGAGAAGACAAGCTACCAAAACTGGAAAGCGCTTAGGTATGGTGCTTTCGATTTGTCAATGTCTAATGTGTATCATACTAAGTTCTCTCTCCTTCCTCTGCACCACAATCATACTGTATAGCAACCTGGGCCAAGGGAACTGAAACTTTTGAAAATCCCTACTTCAATGGACCTTGTCCCATCGTCACCAAAATTCGAGTTAGTAACATGACCCGGGCCAAAGAAACAGCAGAGCTCATTGCAAAAGAAATGCCAAGTACAATAGTAATGGACGAGCCAGATTCCCTCCTCAACGAGGCACTACCGTCGCCCATGATCCCCATTCGCCCCGACATTACGGGTGCCGAAGAGGAGATTGATGCCAATCATGACCGGATTGAAGAAGCCTTTCAAAAGTATATTCATCGAACGGATGCTACAGCGGAGGATGATGACGATGGAGATGAGTTTGAAATCATTGTATGCCATGGAAATGTCATTCGATACTTCTTCTGCCGAGCTTTGCAACTTCCACCTGAAGCTTGGCTGCGCATGTCCATCTTCAACTGCAGTTTGACCTACCTGATGGTGCGATCTTCAGGGGTTGTATCAGCACGTATGTTGGGAGACATCGGCCACTTGGATTACGAAGAATCTACGTTTTCCGGAAATCATGGCCTGAAGTGGTAGTGGTACTGTAATTCTCTATTTCACCAGTAGAGCGTCGATGTCTATGGTTGAGTCGAGTGGATCAAACAAGAATTCGATCAAATACTGTACCGTATGTAAAGAGGCCTGTCCAGTGCAAGCACCTTCTGGTTCGTACTACTCGTACCAGGTACTTTGTGGGTGTGCACGTGAAAACTGTACAGCAAGACGGGGTAATTTTCTGATATAGTGGCAAGGGAAAGACGGGATTCCTGGTTCTCCAGCGGGTTGGAAATGAATATTCCGTTCTCGAATATTTTAACGGTTTTTTGACCTGGCGCTTGTCAAAAAAGCTCGTTTTCAATCTCAACTCGAGTCAGCATCGCTGTTCCAGCTTGACATTCTCGTTGTCGATCAAGGATGATCACTCCTGGAATCTGGAATCCCCGACTACTACATTTCATTTCAGCATCAGCGTCAATTTGGTGTCAGATTCCAGCATTCGGAGTCTCTTTTCAGCATTCGGAGTCTGAAACCATTTCTTTTCAGCATTCGGAAGACAAGGCCAAAACGTTTCAGCAGGGGAAGGAAAATCCCTAACATTCAAACTATTTTGGGGGAGGAGACTTGCAAAACAAGCTGTTTCTAGCTATGAA